CAAAAATCTCACGCAGGGGAAAGCCTCTCCTGGATTCTTGCACCTTTCGCCCCTTCGACTTTCCTGTCCCTATTCCAACGCCAAACCCGCCCGCACAGCAATTTGCGGGACTTGACTCGTGCTGATAGTACGAAGCACGACGGACGGGCAGACCAGACGAAAGGAGCGCTTTCTTGTCTCGCTTCGGGTCTCCTTTGTTCATATCCCACTCTGCCGGCCAGAGATACAATTCTCTGTCATGACGCCGGCGGCCCCGAGGAGCTCTTGAACGAACCACCGTCCTCCACCACACGCCTACCAGCATCGGCCTGTCACACCGAACAACACCGTCCAACCGAACTCGGGACTGCTTCCTTGAGCTGTCCGCCCACCATAGCACCGTAACGATTGCGCTGTTCACGACCCCCCTTCAGCACCTCGGCCATGAAATGAATGGTACCGTGCTGACGATGGCTCCGGCCGTTGGTTTTGATACTACTTCCTTTGGCCGATCGCACTCTTCCCCGGACATCATGACGCCCAGCGCCATGCCCGGCCAACACCACCGCGGCGGAGGCACTAAGAGCTTGCCAAGCTTACCCTCGTTTGAGATTCCATCTTTCGACTCGACGCCTGATTTCGACTCAAAATTATACTTGGACGAGAGGATTGTTGCGCCGACGCAGGTCCTCAATGAAAAGAAAGCCGCAGCCGTCAATGTCGAAGCCGTGCGAACTCCCAACGATGAGAAGCCGAAGATGCTCAGGAGGTACTCCTTGGTGGAGAGGCCTAAATCCTGGCTCCCGGGTTCCAAGTCAGCGACCAGCATCAGAGACTACCTGTCGGAACGTCCGAGCACATCCGTTGGCGAGGATGCTTCAGGCTCTGGCCTCGCCGCGCCTGCACCAAGCGCGCCAGAGCCGCCAAAGGCAGAAGCGGATAGATCGGCGAGGAAACGAACAGATAGCTTCGCCAGCTTTGCACGAAAGGGTTGGATGTCGTCGTCACGGCCCCCCTCACCTCAACCCAGACACGAAAAGGTTGTCTCGCTGGGTGGCATGAGCCGCGACAAGGCCTCAAAGAGCACATCCGCCATTGCGGCAACGACCACGAAACCTGCAACAAAGCAGCCAGCTGTGCACGTCTCAGACGCAGAGACACCACGACCGGTTGACTCTACTAAGGGCACGACCCGCGCCTTTACTCGTGCCGGCAGTTACCTGACATCGAAAATGAAGGCTCGCCCGAATAGCATGCTCTTCCAGCTCGGCAACAACAACGACTCCGACTCAACGAGCTGCGCTTCTTCGGCCACCAGCCTAGCACCCCCGACGACGACATTTACCATCGAGCACCAAGGCACATTCAAAACAGCCTCCTTCGCCGAAGGCAGCATCACATCCACCGACGAATCCTCCAACGAAATGGTGCCACATCGAGACCCTCTCTGGAGCGCTTTCAAGAATCTGGACATCGAATTCGGCAAATTTCACGCTCGAACGGCCACGCAACGCATGCTTCTCATCAGAACCACCCTCGTGGTGTTCCTGAGGACCTACAACAACCACGCGTCAAATAAGAGTCTGTATCCCGAGGATGTCGAATTCCGCACGACTGTCTTGGACAGGTGGTGGAAAGGCATGCTCGACATGCTGGACGCGCGGGATCAGCAGCCGTTGCCAGGCGTGGACCGACCAATTCTTCTCGATGCCATCCTCATGATCATGATGCGACCCGAATGGAGACTGGTGACAACCTACATGATGCCCCTTGCAGACCGGTCACCAGCCGAACGAGTGCGCTCTCGCTCGTGGACTCAGTCCACGGATTCGTCTCTCGCCTCCAGCCAGGCTGAATTCCTAGCCGAATCCGCCGAGCATAACGTGCGGACCATGTTCGTTTCGAATCTCTTGACACAGATGGCTGTTGTGGTCGACAAAATGTCCGTTCGTCACGCGCCGCTCAGCCTGGTCAACTTCTGTGGCAAAGCATGCGCTTACGCCTTCTTCTTCGCGCCCGGTGCAGCTGACATGATGACCCGGCTATGGGGCCTGACACCCGACCTCGTTCGACGTACGGCTGATGAGTTTGGTCTGCCAAAGACCAACAACGGAGAGAGTGATGATATCGTGGCGCTCTTTCCGCCGAGCTTGGGATATCTGGGCTGGACAGACGTGAGGACGGTGACCAAGCGTCTCAAAGGCGTGCCGAAGCTGTCGCTCGCCGCGGCGCGCATCCCATGGTTCAGTCCCTGGATGTCGAGGTGGCGGGGTCGCGACACGGACCTGTTTTACATCTTTTGCAAACATTTCCATATTCTGAGCGAGGAGTTCATGCCGCAAGGCCTCCCGCTTCTTGAAAAGGCCCGCTCGCCTGGGTTCGTCATGGTCCAAGCCCAGGTGCTCTCCAACATCGACTCGACCATTCACCGATCAGCCACCGCCGACAACATGGGTATTCCACCACTGTACGATGTAGCCTACGGTATGGATGCCAATGTCATGGCGCTGGGGGCTGCGCCGACCGGAAATCTGCTCAAGGGCATGTCGGAAAACCGATTCATCGTTTTGCTCCGCGACTTTTTGTCAGAAGACTCTTTCGACTTTGCGCCATCCCGCCACACCTTTGCCGAGGCCAGCATGGCTGTTTTGCGCGCTGCGAGCAAGAGGACGTCCCTTTTCGACCACAACTCGTGCTTTACGCTGTGCGACTTCCTTGAAGAAGCTCTGCTTGCGTACGATCATTTTGAGGACGCCGACGACCCGAATCTGGACTATGTCGACTGGCCGTTCTGGTTCGATGTGTGCAAGAAGATGCTGGGGTCACACAACGCCATGACGGAGATACGGTTGCTATCGTTTATATTCACAACCTGGGATGCCGTCACGGCGGATCCCCGACGCAAGCAGGCAGTTTGCCTGGGCTGGCTTCTGACGGAGAAGACATTTAACGAATTATTTAATCACTGGTGTCCAATGGTGAGGGCGTACTTTATGCGACTTTTGTGCTGGAGAATCTGTCGGGATGCTGGCAGCGCCAACGAGATTGATGCGTAAGTTTCATCCTCGACGTCGTCCGGCTTTGCACGTTCGCTAATCAATGATCAGCAAAATCTTCATGGTAGTAGCAGCCCGACTCAAGACGACATGGTCCCACTACTTGTACCTCAAGCAGACTGCCGAACAGTCCGGCAAGTTCCCTCCCTCGACGGCTCCATGCCTCCCTACACCCGGCAAGAAATTTATGATCATCCGCACCGAACTCAACACACCCCAGCCGGGCCTCGGTCTCGGCTTTGACTCGTTTGCAAAGCTCAACATCAACGGCTCCAGCCAAGCCAACTCTGGTCTCATTGATTCCGGCAATGGTGGCGGCAAATCTGACAAAAAGCGCTGGTCCCTCCTCGGCAAGGTTCTCTCGATGACAGCCACGTCCGCAGGTTCTCCCACCGGGTCGGCAGGCAGCTCGCCGAAGCGCAACAACAGCTGGGAGGACAACTTTGAGCAGGCGCGCAAGGATCTTGCGGCCGCACGCACGACACCCCGACCGACGACTTCGCCCGCTGGGCCCCCTCCCCCGCCGAAGCCGACAGCAAACGGTTCTTCGGCCTCGGCTTCGTCCGATGGCTCGTCGACGGGCTCGTCGCCACTGTTCCAGGAGCAGCAGTACGTCTTCAAGTTCATCTTGGGCCTGCACATATATCAGCCCAACCAGCCACGCGAGCGCATTCTCGTCCGCCCGCGACTCCCCGCCCCGGCGCAGGCCTGGGTCACGACAAGATCGCGCAGCGGCAGCTCCCCTCGCTTGCCGGCCGCTAGGATGCCTGCGCCCACGCGCAAGGTCTCTGGCCTGAAAGAAGGTGGTCTCGTCAGTGGCGCCCGCAACGCGAGCCCTCTCTCGTCACCTCTGCGGCCGGAAGCCTCCCCACGACGGATCAGCAACGAGCCGGCGCCGCAGCTGTCTTTCTCGGCGAGCTTTACGCAGTCCCTCAGCGAGCCGCTTGACCGCACGGCCGTCGAGGCCATGGCGTCCGAGGGTCTCACCACCGGCGGTGACGACGCCGACGCTGACGACATTCCTCTGGGCGAGTCGCTGACGCAGCCGGTCAAGCCGGTCGGGTTCTACGCTTCGACAGGCATCTACACCGGCCGCTCTCTGGCGGAGTGGGGCGTCATCGTCGCCGAATGCAACGGTTTCATCGACCGACGCAGGGACGAGGGCGTGCTGGGCCTCAGCGAGGTCGAGGTCCCGACGCTTGGTGTCGAAGGTTTCAGGCGGATCGGATGAGGAGTGGAATGAGGCCATCCTTCTGCATTTCGTTTTCCACTTTTTATTTTTGCTCTCTGCATGTTGCGGCAGCATGGACCCTCGTGTCCACTTTGTTCTGTTTTCATCTGGGCTCGCAGCCCTCTCCTCATCGTTTTATGCTTGGGCTGGGAAATGCCCCTGGGGAGGCGCGTATTATACCTTATCATGACTAGTTCATCATTCGCGCCCGACGCGCGATTCTGGCGTTTCTTCTGCTTGGTTCTTCGTGCGTCCCGCTTGGGGATGGGGGAGATGGCTTTTATGACTGTCGGTGGCTTTATTTTTGGGGATTATACAGCATATGTTGAAATGTAGTTTAGGGTGTACTATCAATGTATCACTTGGAAGTTACGCGTCTACCGTTGTCTGTTTGGTGGTGATTGTGAGGTTTTGATGATCTGTGACTTGTTTTTCATGGCACGATACGAAGTCTCTGGCCTGATCGGGTCCATGATCAGGGGTTTCTGTGGGATAGTTTGATAATTACTGCCGTCGTGGGCACCATCTTCCGCCTTCCCAGTCAAAAACGAAGATGTGTTATGTTATGTGAATCACGTTTCGCCTTGGCAGCCGAATCAATTCGACAGGCGATGATATTCGAACATGAGAGAGCGCAAGTACGCAACCAACCATCTCATGCTGATAGTATTCATACCTGACCAACCTAGGAAAGCCGCACCAGACCGAGTGTGCAGCCGCCTTGGCCAGCAACGTCACGCCGACTTGCTCGCCCTGACAACAGCCTGCAGCCTCTCCAGCGCCTCGGGCCGGTACACGTCGGCCGGCCGGTAGTGCTCCTCGAACTGCCGCGTCTCGGCCCCGAGCACCACGAAGCGCCTCTTCGACCGGACGAAAATGTGCGCGTCCGGCTCCAGCACGTCGAGGCGGTCGAGCGTCGCGGCGCGCAGGTAGGCGATCGGCCCCGTCTCGACGCCGCCGTAGAAGGACCAGACGGCGACGCTGCAGCGAGGGCATCGATGGATCGTCTGCGCGGCGTGCGAGGCCGTGGGGGTCGGTACGCCGACTGTCTGGCCCTCCTCGCCTTTCCCCGCCGCGCCGCGGGTCGTGGCGGCGATGCCGCTGGGCAGGGGGCAGGGAGAGGGCTGGGGCGGACCGAGGGGGGTGTTGGTGCCCGGAAGGACGGGGGCCGCGGACGGGGCGGGGACAATGTGCGCGGTCTCGATGACGGCGTTGATGGTGAAGCCGGAGCCGGACTCGCGCTGGCAGAGGGGGCAGTGGCACGCGTGGACGACGAGGGGCGCCTTGGCGAGGGTGTAGCGGATGTGGCCGCAAGCGCAGCCGCCGTGGAGGGGGAAGAGGTCGGGGATCGATGCGTAGTGAGACATTGCGTGCCAGTGGGCTGCGAGGGGACTGGATGACTGGGGGTGCTGGAGGAATGTGGGCGATGGAGGCATGCCACGAGCATCGAACCTAGCTGAAGCCAACGAAGGATGGGAAGAAGAAGAAGAAGGCCAGAACAGGATGCAAAGGGGAGCACAGTCAAGGGAAGAAGGGCCAACAACGAGGAGAGTGAGCGAGCGGAAATGTGTGCGAGAGAGCAGGGCGCGTGATGGCGACGACTGGCCTATCAAGACTGGCGACACGTCCAAATGAGGAAGGGGAATTCACGTCACCGTCAGCAAAGCCCTCGTCCAGGTCCGATCCCACGAATACCTTGTCGATAAGGATGCTATCTGCGTCTTCTTCTTGACACATGGGCATGCTCGAGCATCTGTGTTTGTTGCTGTGCGTGATGCCATTCATTTTGCTGGTGGTGGTTGGGAGTCCTCCTCCTGTTCCCTCCGCCTGCGTGTGGAATGTAGCCTTCCCCTCTCCAGCCTTGCGCGAATATTGGTGAAGCAGTCTCCCGCAACCAGCTCGGCGGGTCGCTAGGTTGCGATCTCCAAAGAGGCTGGTGTTGCAACGTTGATGATCACGATTGACGACCGTTGGGTCACGCTGTTTCGGACCCTGAACGGATGGTGGTCGTTTGACCGCACGCGTGATGTGATGGTGAACAGTCTGACGAAGTTTCATACCCCTCAATGAATGGAGGGGTTCGACTGACGACAACCTCGTCATCATTCTGTTTGCGTCGAGTCCACGAGTTCACGAATCAATATAATGCTGGACTTTACCTCCATCCGAGTGTAGTTGGCCTCCATCACGCCTCTTGCGATACAGCACACAATCGTTCACTTCTCGCTCGCCTCACAAACTCATCGCAAACCCTCGCACTCAAGATGCAGCTCTTCGCGTTCCTTTCCATCTTTCTCTTCTCACTTCAGGTTCTCGCTGCGCCCTCGGCACACTTGCACCACCACCACCACCACTCGCATCGCCGGCATGTACACAAACATTCTGGCCATGTCCACGCCGATGTCCCCGCCGGGCTGCACCCAGAGGTGATCCTTCCCAGCCTCACCGGTACAGACGAGGCCGGCAGCGCCAGCAAGAACACATCAGCCCCAGCGGTAACTGAAGACTTGGTGCCACCGCCGCCCGAAGCCGGAAACGCCGTCTCTGAACTTCGCAGACGCGTTGTCGAGCCGGCCGTCGGCGCACGCGACGAAGACGCCGAGGCGGAGAAGGCCAATGTGCCGAGGAGCATGAGGGCCCACCTCGCAAAGTACAAGAGACGGGGACGCGGCCGTCGTCACTCCTGAGACGACAAACACGAACACACGACCGCAAGCTGCGCTGGTGGTTCAGGAAGCGCAGCGGGCCTGCGCACAGGCATGAGGCTGGTCCTCGGGGCTGGTCCTCGGGGCTGGTCCTCATCAAGTGGAGGGGGTTCGATTAAAGACCGAGTCACTCATTGGACGGGGTTGTGTTGCATTTCTGCCATGGTACGGACGTGGACGTGGTTTTGCTAATTGTGTTGATTCCCAGCTGAAAAGGGCCAAGGGAAATTTGTTGAAGCGAGCGCTTGCTTTTGAGAAGAGGGGGGGATATTGGATACCAAGGGGGCATCTGAACCCCAGATTTGTTGTTTATGTTTTTGTGTTCATCTCATCAGTCGTTTCGGCACCGAAGCCAAGAGCAGGTCTCGGGTTCGGAGGGCTCGTTCGAGCCAGCAGTCGTTTTCGCCAGTTTTCCATGATGGTCAGAGCTTGGTGTTCCATCGTGTATTGCACGGATTAGTTTCTTGATTAGCTTTTTTTTTTTTTTTTTTTGTTTCACCCAATGAGTCGGGATATTATGGTGTCAACCAGAAACATATTCGCCAAGAAGTTCTATAATGCTGTTCTCTATCTACCTTCCCGTGGTATTCAGCTGACGGCCTGCATGTGGAAGCCAGACTCGGCGAATGTTGCACACGGCGAACAACTTGACGTCCTGGAGCGGTTTGATGCACGTCCTGTACTAGATATATCTATATACAATATGTAAATCTCGATAGTCCTACATGGATCTTCCCCTCTCTTGTCAGGTCAGCCACTTGTTGGCCGTCGGTCGTCGACGACACGGTGTTGATGAGCAGCAACCCGATAAAGCCAATGTCAGATGTATACTGTGCATATCCTGGAAAGTAATCACTGTGACAGCCCAAATATCAGCGGGAGAACTCTCCCTCGAAACATTGCGCACAGTAGAAACATCGCTCCATGATTGGCCGCGCCAAGCTCGACTGGTCGCGACTCCCCCTTTCCCGCTGCTGCCCAGAGCCTTTGACGGTCACGAGGCTACGGCCCATGCATTTGCTGTCCGTGTCCTGTAGCTCCGGCCTCTGGGAATCCGTTGACCCAACCTCAACCCCACACGTCATGCCGTGACCTGAAAGAAAGCGCCATCTCCAAGTACTCCTTTGATGCAACGTGTACCGACCGCTAGCCTTTTTTTTTTCTCCCGACGTTGACCGAGAGCCCATCGCCTGGATCCCGCTTCCTCGGCTCCGTCACGCGACATCGATTGATCAGCAGCAGGGTCTATTACACACATACCAGTGCCGCCGGTAGCTCCACGACGACCTGCACGACGAACGAAACGGAACAGGGCTGAAAGTCTCCTTTCCTGCCCTCCGCCACCAGCGCCTTTCGAAGGCTCCCCGCCACCAGCGCCTTTCGACAGCGCCTTTCGACAGCGCCTTTCAACACAGAGAGCGCGCCATGCCGTCGACGAGGCAGCTGCGCACGCTCGTCGTCGGCGTCATCATCGGCGTCGTCTTCGTCCTCTTCTACACGTCCCACCTGCGCCAGCACGAGGTGCGCGACGGCCGCACGCTCCAGGACTTTTACCACAAGACGGTCAGCGGGCTCGACAAGAAGCCCGCCGGCGCCGGCTCCGCGGCCGGCGCCCAGGCCGTCATCAAGGACAAGGACGGCGACGGCAACATTGACGCCGACGACGAGAAGCTCGCCCAGGACATGGCCGACCGCCTCAAGGAGGCCGCCGTCAAGGCCAAGGAGGCCGCCAATAAGAAGGCGCCCCTGCGGCCCGACGACCCCAGCGATATTGTCGGCATTGGCAACTCGGCCGCCGGCCAGAAGAAGGACGCGGCCGCCGCCGCCGCCAAGGACGTCGAGAAGAAGCAGGCGCCCGCCAAGGAGACGGACGAGGAGCACGCCGTCGAGGTCGAGGTGAATGCCATTCTCAAAAAATCACCAGGCATGTCCCCTTCCCCTGTCGTTTTTTCTTTGGATGACGGTCACGCATGGGCGCCCTTGCTAACCTTGTCAGTCATCATCTTTTCGAAATCCTACTGCCCCTACTCCAAAAAAGCAAAGGCCCTGCTGCTCGAAAAGTACGCCATTGACCCGGCGCCCTACGTCGTTGAGCTCGACGAACACCCCATCGGCAAGGCGCTGCAGGATTTCCTCGCCGCCAAGACGGGCCGCTCGACCGTGCCGAACGTGCTCATCAACAGCGTCAGCATTGGCGGCTTTGACGACGTGCACGACCTGGACGAGCAGCAGAAGCTCGTCGCCAAGATTATCGACCTCGGACAGAAAAAGGTCACCATGGTCCAGCGGGCGGCGGGCGCGGCCGGACACAAGTCATCGTAGGCGGCGGGATCTAATCCGACCCTGTGTTGTCGTGAAAACAAAAAAAAAAACCCCCAATGACAGAAGAGGAGCTTTGGAGCATTGGCAGAACAGAAAACAGAAAACAAAGCGAAAGGGACCTTGGGTCTTGCTGGGCGTCAAGGGTGCATTTTATGGCGTTTGGCGATGAATCGGTCTCTGATGAGAGGGGCATGGCGATGACCTCAAGGACGTCTTCCCGGGGAGGGAGGGAGAGCAGCATGGCCACTATCCGGCATACATGTACAGTACGTAGGCAGTCAGACTACTTGATGCTGTTTCCCCCGATCACTCCTTTTTGTTGGCTCTGCTGCTCCTCTGTTGCTGCCGGGGACGGTCAAAGCAGCAGAATGCGGTACCTGTGATGGCGCAATGTGGTGGGGGTCCCCCCCATCTCAACGTCCCCCTTGACCCCTCCTCCCCCGATTCAGATCCAGATGCGACACTTGCGCATCTAGGAGGTCGATCAAGAAACAATGGAGCATGCGTCACTAGCGGCAGGGCCTTGATGGCCTTGATGGCCAGGTACACTCGTCACCGAGCGGCCGCGAGCCATTGAATCGGGGCCGTCTGTCCTACTCGCCGGGGACCCTGATGGCCGCTGCTGCGGATGCGGATGCGGATGCGCTTCGCTCTTCGGAGGAGACGAGCAGGCACATTAAGAAGCCAAGGTCTGCCTGTGCCTCTGAGCCCTCGGCAATATCCCCTCTTGTCTGTACTGCCCTTGATTTTGTGATACACATGAAATCATCTGTTCTCGAACACGGCCCGTGTCCTTCAACCCCCCCTCCCCAGGTACCTCGTCGGCGACTTACACCGAGATCACGGCATCACCTTGGAGAAGTGGCGTCACAGGACCTAACCGGCAACGATAACCGCTACCACGAAGCAGAGGAAACTCGTGTAGGGAGATAGCCAATGCTGGGTCCCGTTTACATTTTCGATTGAGCTTCGCGACGACCACCCACTCCGCCATTTCACATTGAATACGCGCCCAACATCGCATTTCGCAACACATTACAGCAGTCATGCTTTCTAGATCGCCACACAGGCCCGTCAACCACGGGCTGCGAAAGCCCCACCCCCTCGAGGGCTTCCTCGTCCTCGCCGTCGCGCCGTTCCTCGGCTATCAAGACATACAAGCCCTCCGATGCACTTGCGCCGTGAGCTGCCCCTCTGCCCTGTGCTCGTTTTTTCCTGTGAGCTAACATGTCACACCAGACCTCCCGCCGAACCCTCGACACGTACGAGCGATCCACGGCCCGTGCCAGCATCGGCAGGACCCCCCTCTCCGGTCCCGCGCCGAGCCACCACCTCCTCACCTCCGACACCCCCGCCCGGTACGTCGCGCCGCGCGACACGTACGCCGCCCTGCGCGAGCTCGAGGACCGCGACCGCGAGATTACCTACCTCGTCGACACGTCGCCGTACCTGCGCTCGGCCTTCACGCGCACGGGGATCAAGCCCGCCTCGCGGGGCGAGACGCGCCGCGCGCGCGCCGCGCTGAAGCGGGCGCTCTGGATCTGCTCGGGCCTCGCGGACCTCGAGACGGCGCCGTGGGCGAGCCCCGACGCCGTGCCCCCGTTCCGCCGCCACGGCGCGGCGCGCCCCGCCGTCTTCAGGGATCAGGCGTCCTTTCTGCGCAACTTTGCCGACAAGAGGGAGGCGACGACGGCGCTGGCGGCGCTGCGCGAGGCGCAGCTCGCCGCGGTCCGGGCGCTGCCCGCGCGGGACCTCGCGTCGCTGATCGTGCTCGGCGACCTGGCGACGAGGGGGTTCGAGGATCAGCTGGGCATGCGGCGTATGGCCGAGTACCCGCGACACGTCGTCAACGAGTGGAACGTGGCCGTTGCTGAGAATGTGTTTCGGCATGGCGTACACTTCCTGCGTGGTCAGGCGCGGCGCGGAACCGCCAGGTCCAGCTCGAACAAGGCGGGAGGAGGATCAGCGGAAGGGATGGAGGCGTGCGCGGCGGCGGCGGTCTGCGATGTTGTACGTGAGATGCATTGCTGGGAGGCCGGTGACGAGGAGACGCTGCCTGGGCTGAATATGACCATACGGATGGCGTTCCGGGAACAGGTGGACTGTGATCCGAGTGAGGCTGTAGAGGAGGCGGTTCGGGTCATGATGGGACGGAAGGGCGGGGACAAAAAGTGACGACATGAGCGATGTAGCATGGGACGTCTGCATGAGTATGAGAAACGGCTGGTGGATGGGTGGTGCATCATGGCGTTGGTTGGTGGGGTGTTCTGCGTGATGTGAGTATAGCAATCAAGCATCTGCTTCAAGCCTGGAGGGCGTGATGATATGGTTCCTCTGGTGATGCCTGCGGGCGTCCCAAGCCGCTGCTCCAATTGTCTGTCACAATTCGCAATTAGTGAATGGCCATGGACACCTACTTGGGATGCGCACGCCTAACGCTCTTCGATGATCGAGCTGGTTGCTGTCGATGGCCTGCATGATGGATCATGGAAGCCGGACGATTGCGTGATGGATGCTGGCCCCTCCATCTAGGTAGGTGCGATTCAAGATGTGGGGTCGCGTGCCGTCCGGGTTCTCTCCTGCATTTAGCTCACCGAGACACGCACGGACCATTGTCATCGCATACCTCGGTGAGAGAAGAGCGGGGCCCCTTTTTCGCAATCACATGACCGTCACCACCAATACCGCCCGTAGGGCAGGTGAGCCCTCTCAGAAATTTGAGTCTGCCCCATTTTCGTGACCTCGTCAAGCGAGACCCTCCCAACCGCAACCCGACCAGGTCAACTCCATCCCACGCCACGCCAATCCAGCAATTCGCTCTTCGACGTCCACATCGAGAAGCGAATTCCCTGAACCTCACGACCGCAACCATGGCTGACGACGAATACGTACGTGCTGTCTCTTCCTCCTGCGCTGCGGGCGAGCGCCGATGCGACTGCTCTCTGCTCGTTTTGCCGCCCACCACCCTCTCACACCATCACCACTGCTGCCGCCGCCGCCACCATCACCACATCGACGACGGAACCCTAGAGACATGGCATCGAAACTTGGCGGCAGTGTATGTTGCGTGTGTGTGTGAACGGTGGACGGCGGAAGAACGAGAAGCAACAAGAACCGAGTAGTTCGCAGCGCAATCGTCGCAGCGCAGCCAAAACGAAGAGAAGAGGAACTTTTTGAAGGCTAACCTGGGGTCAACCACGCAGAACGCTGAGGAGGCCGCCGAGCTCAAGAAGAAGAGAGCGTTCCGCAAGTTCTCCTACCGTGGAATCGACCTTGAGGCGTACGTAGCCCCAACCCCCCACCTCCCCCCTCTTTGTGCACCTACACGGTGATGATCATGGGCAGGCCGAGCAAGCAAGCGGCGAGGCACGAAGGATACAAGACGGAACAGCAGAGCTAACACGAACCGCACAGTCTCCTCGACCTCGACTCCGAGCAGCTCCGCGATGTCGTCCACGCCCGTGCCCGCAGACGCATCAACCGCGGCCTGAAGCGCCGCCCCATGGGTCTCATCAAGAAGCTCCGCAAGGCCAAGCAGGAGGCCAAGCCCAACGAGAAGCCCGACCTCGTCAAGACGCACCTGCGTGACATGATTGTCGTGCCCGAGATGATCGGCAGCGTCATCGGCATCTACTCCGGCAAGGAGTTCAACCAGGTTGAGATCAAGCCCGAGATGGTTGGCCACTACCTTGGAGAGTTCTCCATCTCTTAGTACGTTCCCACCATACGTCGCGCTGCGAGCGCGCCCGCGCCCAAGCGACGTCGCATCGAGAGACGCAAGTTGCTAACAACCACCACAGCAAGCCCGTCAAGCACGGTCGTCCCGGTATCGGTGCCACGCACTCTTCCCGTTTCATTCCCCTGAAGTAAGGTGTGGGATGGGTGTTGGTGGTCAACGATTTGGTCGGCACGAAGGGACAGAGGTTATTGCATTCACGGTCATCAAACAAAGGCGAACGGGAATGGACTCGGTAGCATGGCAGTGCAAAGCCGCTACCACCTTGATTCGGCAACGGTAGTGAATAAACGCCTTGCCACCCCAAAAAGAGATGCTTTACGATTCACCTGCTGTCCAGCTTTGCATCTTCATGTCCGTGTCGTGTCGTCTCGGATGTAGTAGTGCGTCTTGGGTGTAGTGCCTCGCCTCAGGTATCGGGAGAGAGTTACGTCCACCGTCGGCAACCCAGCATTAGCAGAGGACAACTCTGTTTACCGTGGCTAGGACTCGCTGCAGCCGTGGAGCCGATCCAACGACGCGATCTCACAACCGTCTGCAGACAAGCCAAGCATGTCAATCACAGGACGGGATTGTAAAACCGAACGCTTGCTACTCATTCAAACTAACAATAAAGCTGCAACATGGACGCTGCAGATCCGCTTTCGTGCATGGCGATCTCGCCACGCCTGTATATGAACGCCTCATGGGTACTCAATATGGGCAAGCCAATTCCGCGTCGTAGAATAGCTGGAAGAAACGGCCCTACGTATGTTCTTGAGGAACATCAACATCCACGTTTCTGTCCGCAGCGGACAGCTTCCTCAGCATCTTTGTAAGGCCTCCACAAGAATTTCTGCGAAGCTTCTTGAGAGCCTCCTTGACTCTTGGGCCAAAGGACTTGGCATTTTCTGACAGGTTGTGCTAATGCCATGTCACGCACCTGCGTTCCTCGCATACGCTGCAAAGACATCGGAAGTGCGGAGAAGAGATGTAGTCGACAAAGATTTCCTCTCCTGCCTCCAAGTCGCGAAGAGCTTTGAACCTGGCGAACACAACATCATCTTTGACTTGAGGGAGGCATTCCATCGTGGCGTTCACGCGGCTTCGGACTCGACTGTTGGGCCCGGCAGGGCATGCATGGTTGACTTTGCTGCCAAGATGGAAGACACTTTTCTTGGCCTCGTGTGTCTCCTGTTGCTCTTCAAAGCTATGCGTTTGAAGCAAGTTCCAAAGTTTGCGGTTGTTTCTGTCTTGGGTACGATCGTACACTCCGGGTATAACTTCCAGGTCTGGATAGTTGGCCATCAGTCGTTTTTGGTTGTTGTGTGATATCACATTCCAGGCACCAGACATCTTGTCATAGTCAGCGACCGCCCGGAGAACTGAAACTTCTTCGAAAATGATTTGATTTCTTGCAACAGGAAACTTGGTGAAGAGGCCGTCACCACACCCCTGAATAGAAGAAGGTCCAGACATGACGAGGCTTTCTGGCCTCGCTGTCCTTGGGTTTGGGCGAATGTCAGGCACTGTCAGAGGTGGTGCTGGTGTGATCGCCATGTCGTCTTCGTCATTGGTGTCTCTAGGACGCTGTCTGGCCAATGACTCGGCGAGCTCGACAGGTACGGCATCGGAGGATGAACTGGTCGTGACCGGATGTGCTGCGGAGTTTCGAGATGGACCAGGAGCACTTTCTTGCAGGAGAGCGTCAGTGGAGGAATCCGCCGTAGCATGGAGCCCTCCTGTAAGTGCTGTCATTGGGAGTGCAGCCGAGCGTTCGCCGCCATGAGCATCTGCAAGAGTCCCATCGCCCGGCCCAGCCTGGGTATCTGTTTCAATTTGTCCCGGTTGCATGATTTGCAATTCTTGAGATTCTGGGCCATCCTGAGCACCCTGGTTAACCTGGGGTGTGGGATGGTGCCGGAAATGTTGGACAGCCTTGGACGTTAGATGGAGACCGCGAAGCCTGCGGTACATTCGACTTTTTGCGGGAAACCCTTGTGAACCATGAAATGGCTTGGATACTCGCGAGCTCGTGCTGATCTGAGAAGCTCGTGGAGCCCTGGAAGACCGAACCGATGCAGTTCGAAGCAGAGCTGGGGGGGCCTGTGAGGCTTGCGAGCCCTGAGGTTCTGGATTGACCAACATTGACAGCGGAGCTGATGGGGCCGTCTGACCCCTTTGAACCCCGACAGCCTGTGAAACGGAAGGGAATGGCCCCAAGAGGCTTGTCTGAGATGTCCGAGTATTTGGGTCGGGGAGGGGTGCCAGTCGTTGCGCGATGGACTGAACCCAAGTGGACGTCATGTCCTCATCTTGAATTTCGGTGATGGTAGAAATACCTGAACCCGCCATGGTATCGACTGTTGGGTAATACAATTGTACTTGGATGGAAAAGCTCAAGACAAGCCTGGATGACCAAGAATGTGGACGGGTATGAATGGATGTTATAAACGGGATGGACTGGGCGAAAGATGATGTTGGAGAAGAGGAAGAAAGGGTAGAGGAGGGAGGGAGTTAAGGATGCATCTCTGACCAGGTCAGGATCCATGAAAGTGACGCTCGCGGAGCAGGGGCAACGAGCTTGCTCTTGCTGCAGATAGGTTGGAACAATGAGGCTGCTGCTGTCGGTACAAGCACGACCAATGTCTTCGGCGGCCTTAAGGCATGGGAATCTTCTTGCGAGAAGCACGGCAGGCACTGTCTTCTCATGTTCATGCGTCTCTAGATGAGAAGGCGCGAATACTCAGCCAGCCAAGGCAATACCTTTGGGAGACGCCCGATCCTGCGCTCTTCAAAAGGCCCTGGTCGTCAGTGTACTGGGGCAGGTTCTTCATTCTGGGGGAGCATTTTCATGCTTGTGCCTTCTCAGTATCTCAATGCCCGTCACATAATTTTGCCCCGCCTGGGTTGCGAGTCGTCACTTTGTGCCCTCGAGTACTCATTTCACAGGTGGTTCATGCTGAGAACAACCATGTGGACAAATGGAATAGGTGTTGCAGATTTCCCGTCTCTCTGCTAAAAAGTTTATGTACCGGTATCACACACTCACGAACGCTGACCCGCTTTACTGCTGCTCCGCCGCCAGCTTCCTCGCCTTGCGCTCCTCGTCCTCGATGTGCTTCTTCTGGTAGTGGGCGACGACGTGGTCGAGGTTGGTCTGCGAGCCGGCGACAACGTTGCGCGCGGCCGAGTTTTGGAGGGCCCTAAAGGGAGGAACCATGTCAGCTTTGGGTGTGTTCTGTCGGGGGGGAGCGGAGGACAGGAGAAAGAAAAAGGCGGAACGTACTCGGGGAACCGGACATCGACATCCCTGTTGGGCTCGGCGTAGAAGAAGAGGGCGCGGTCGAAACCGGCCTGCTCAACCGCCTTGGTGTGCAGGTGGTTGCGCTCCTCCCAGGCGCTCTGCCAGGACCAGTAGGAGTGAATCTTGCGGGTGAGCCACGGGTCCTGGCCGTCCTTGCCGGGCTGGGAGATGGAGTAGACGATGAAGCTCGTGGGGATGACGGCGAGGCTGACCCAGAAGCCCTTGCCGATGGGCTCGTTCACGGGCTCAGCATGGTGGTGGTGGTCAGAAGCGAAGCGGCGGGGCTGGCGGAGGGCCGTCGGCGTTTTCGTCTGGCGAGCGATGCAGGCGGTTCGAGTGCGGAGGGCCTGCATCGTGGGCGAGCTTGCGGAGGGAGCGAGAGAGGGCGAGAGGGTCAATTGGCTCGCGCGCGGTGAGTGGTGATGTCGTAGGTTGATGGATTGACCGGGTTGGGAGGTGTGGTTTGCTTTGCGGCTTCTTTCGCGATTGAGTTTAAGCGCTAGACGCGGATACGCGCGGTTGTCATGGCCAATAGCAGGCTGCCGAATTATAATGCTGGGGCTTCGCCTTTACGACGGAGACAAGTTGTCCAGATGCCCGAGACGGGCTTCTAGGGACTTCGATTGGGGCGACAGTGAACTGTCCTTTACACTTTGACTCATTCTTTTTACAATCTTATAAACCGGTCACTGGACTGATCAAACGTTCTCACCAAAGGCATTTTTGTTCCTCATTTACCATCTCCAACAACTTCATGAGCTGCGCCTGTGCTTGTCTCAAAGACAGCGAAGCGTCTCATTGGCCTCGAAGCATTCAAGTACCACGAAAATCCATCACTGATTCTCTCGCATAACCTCTGTCGAGCGATCCTCTACAAATTATAAGCCATGGCGAGGTCAAATCGAGCGCGTGGCGCATCGTTGACGTTGTCTTTTTTCTTCGTCATCCTCAGCCTCGTTCTCCTCGTTCCTCTCACATCTGCTCGGGCGCCAGACGCGCGACCGTCACCACCAGCCGAGGGCGAGCTGATATGCCACACGGACAACCCGGCAGAATGTTACCCCAAGGTCTTCCAAGCGACGCACGAATTTCAGGTTATCCGCGATGACCAGGACATCCCCAACGGCCTGCACATCAGAATGGACATGACTACCGGCCGCAAAGAAGCCAAGATCAACGTCCCTGACGAGGAGAACCCCGCCCTTGAAGGCCTCCCCGTCGATTCGAGCATGATCGTCGTCGAACCCGAGGAGGGAGAGTCAGAGGAGGCGCCGCCGATCCCCTTTGCCGCCCCCGTCTACCAGGCCTTTGGCCAGGTGAAGCCGCCCAAGGAGGAGTCGCCGCAGTTCTACACGCACCTCGACTTTATCAAAAAGGGCCCCGGCGGCGCCGACCTTCCCTTTGACGAGGCGCTCGAGTTCCTCGAAGAAATCTCGCACGACATGTACTACGGCGACAAGATCGCCGAGAACCCAGAGACCGTCCACGCCCTCCTTTGTCTCATGGTCAGCCCCTCGCAGGCGACGACCGAGGATCTGGCGCCGCGGGACCAGCGCGCCGCGACCATCATCGCCGCCGCGCTGCAAAACAACCCGGACGCCACCGAGCTCGTCGGCAACGCCTGGCTCGGCTTCCTCGACGCAAAGTGTAGCGGGCCCCAGGGCGGCGAGGGCGACGGCGTCACGCTGCGCGAGAAGATGTACGCGCCGTTCGTGCCGGGCGAGCCGCTGATGGTCGGTGAGCTTGCCCTCGCCGCGGCGCGGGCCAAGGCGCGCGTCAATGCTCTGCACGGTCTGCTGCGGAGCCCGGTTGTGCGGGATGACTTCCTCGCCAACCGGGGCATGGATCGCCTGCTAGAGGTTCTGAAGCCGGGCGGCGAGAAGTGGGCGGCGGGCAATGAGTGGGAAGGCGCTCAGCGCAAGGTGGCGCACCTTCTGCTGGATACTTTCCTGGAGGAGGAGTTCGGCGCGACCAAGGGCATCTGGCCGACTTTCAGAGCGGCCGAGACGGACGCGGGGAAGAGGAGGGCCGCGAGGGCTTCGGATGAACAGTGGGTTGAGGCCGTACGGGTGATCAAGGACAGGCACCCTGGAAACAAGGGACACTGGAGCGTGGGGGTGCTTAAGCAGCTAGAGGCGCTGCACAAGGCGCAGCTGAAGAATCTGCCAAGGGAGGATCTTTGAGCATAGGCGAAATGTGACGGCTGCATGCATAGAATATACCCCGACCGGATAATGGCCATGTTGTTTTCATATATCACTTTACGAGTTCACTCGAGAGGATGTGAATTTTAAGTTTAACGACTTTTCAGCATCAGCATGCTAGCGAAGTTGATGACGGCTGGGCAGCACCCATGCAATCAATCTAAGACATATGTAGCAACGCTCCGAATGAACGGCGCCGAAAAGACAGAAAGTATGGGTATCTCCAACTCCGCCCAGGCCTCCGGCCCCTCGAATCTGCGAACTGATGGCATCGCGCTGATGACAGATCTCCAGGCTCGGGCGGGGAGTCGGCACTTGAGCGGAGCGAGCGGTAGATGTTTTCTGAGGCGCGAGCTCCTCAGAAGCCGTGGACCTTGATCATCTATGCATACGTCAGTATAGTCATGGCGACGCGTGAGGGGGTTTTTCGAACCTTGGCATCCATCTCCAGACCCTCCTTCTTGTCGATGAGGAATTCGTGAATAGCCTTACGCTGGTCGCCTGGCAAATTTGGTCAACACGCGCTCTCTATCGTTCGTCGCCCTCAATTTGAAGTGCCACATACCCTGAAGCTGGATGACATCACCCATCTCCGAGTCCTCAACGATGGTACCGTTGCACGCAAACTTCTTCTTGATCACCTTGAGGATCTTCTTCTGGTCGAAGCGGCGGGGAAGGCCCTGGATGGTGGTGAGAGTCTTGCGTCCATTGCGCTGCTGGATACGGATGTGAATGTAGCTCTGGCTCTGCTTGGTGGCAGCGGCGTCGTTGGTGTCGCCCTCGTCCGCATCCGCGAAGGGGTCGATGGTCTTGAGATTCTCGATGGTCGTCATTAGAGGTGGTTTGTGGGGGACGTTGCGCAAGGGCACGGCAGTCGGTCGGAAAGTGATTGAGCTGGGTTGTGTTTGAGGTGTGTATAGGTTTTACGGGGTTTGTGTACGTTCTTGAACGAGTAGGGTGTGAGGGAGGCGCAGATGTCGTGAATGTCGAGGTTCTTCGATGATTGTGTGCGATGGTGAAGGATGGAGGGGTGTAGGCGGGGTTTATTTGATAAGGGGGTTGACTCAGGCTCAGCCACAAGTCTGGGGGTGGCGTTGGTGGCGTATCTTATCGCCTGTTGCTGCCTGTATCATCCACTGACAACACATCGTGACAATAGACTCTGCCTAGATGTGCCTGTATCAGCCGTTAATACACATCATAAGAATAGACTAGACCTGAATTTTCACAAGTAGCTTCGTTCACGGTGTCATGCCGAATTTTCCTTCTTTTCATTCTTCTTTTCACAATGTTATCCTCTATACCCAAGGTGCGGTTTTCGGGGCCATAACAACTGCTTCACAAGGATTTTCAAGTTGCTGGAGGACTCATAAGTCTAATTCCATAACGCTGTCAAAATTGTTCGCGACCCTGCTACTAAACACTAAGTATTTGAACTCTGCACTTCAGACAACAGAATTTCAACCACTCTGAGAGAAAAGCAGCCTCCGACTGGTACGAACAAAACCAATACGTCACAGCCGATGTCTCAACGCCTCAAATCCCATGTCTCTTTCCTCATGCTTCATGCTTTGCTCTTCCATTCACCAGTATGCCTGTCGTGCTAATAGAACTTGTTTGTTCAGGCATAGGATGCGTGCATTGAGGAAGCTGACCCTGGAGAGCCATCCGGCCTCAGACGCGTTTGCTCTTCCCTCTCCCGCCTTTTGTTCTCAGCTCGCTCCTCGTTTGTCGGCGCGAATAGCAAACATTCAAACCACGCCTCTGCTCCACGTTCGAGTCTCTCCTCGCAGTACCGCGCCTCGGCGAGCAGATTCAAATCTACCAAGAAGTCGATGATATCGTAGCGGCCCCCTTCTTCCTGCGCCCATGCAAGTAGTCTCACGACTCGGAAAAAGTCCGCGTCACACGCGTCCCGGCTCCATTCGAGCAATCGACACACAATCTTGGCCCAGACGCATATCCATGCGGGGTTGAGAGTGCCACCGGCCTCGCGCAGCTCGATCGTCGTGGATTCTTCGGGAACGAGCGTTCTGTAATTTTCGAGTGAGTAATTCATAAAGTTGTATGCTGTGTGCTTGTAGACGTCGCCGTAGAGACGACCGACGAGCCCGCCTAGTAGATCAGCTGAGAGGATCTCGCGGACGCCGGACATAACGTCGCGACGCGTAGGACGCTCCATATTTTGTGGCATGGACGCATAGAAGGCGTCAATCCAGGGCTCGGCACGTGCGATGACGTTTGGGTTCCGCTGAGGCGGCGAACGAAGGGGAACATGGGCGATTCGTCGTTCGAAGGGGGGATGGCGGGGGCGGGGAGGAATAGAGGCATCGAGTCGTGGTTGTAACATGAAGACTCGCGGTTTGGAATCTGGGTATTTATAGTCGATATTAGGGGGAGCTCGATGCGATAGGTCTTCTGCGTTGGCTGGTTTTGGGTTCATGAACAGCGTGTCCTGCCAGTGCCGTCCTGGTTCCCCCATCTCGCTCGTTGCTATGTCCGAGGGACCTAGCCCCCCATCTTGTTCATCTTCAGTTTCAAAGCTTTCCCCAAGCCATCGATCTCGACCACAAGCCCTTGCGATTTGTCTAGTCTCCGCGTCATCCACATCAAAGCAGAACTCAGAACGCCACAAAGAAGCGGCAGATCCGTTGACGCGGCTGATGTCAGTGCCTAAGCAATCTCTTACATTCTGTGACCACTCATGAACAGCCCTGTCTGGCGCATGGAGTTGGCTCAGGAGCGGACTTGCAGCCCAGATGAGGGCACCGAACCGTCGGAGAGTCCTGGGATCGATGCGCTTCTCTCTCCCGGCACCGACGTGCACATGAAAGCCGCACGATTGATTTACACGACATCGAAAGTTTGTCGTTAGGGTAGAGACTGCAAGGCGGATCAGGTCAAAGCTATTCTCGCGGTCGTACATAGCAGGACTTACAAGCTCGACGCCAACCACTCGATAGCCATCCATGTTCTCAAATTCTTTCAGCGTGCTTTCCCCAATGATGTTGAATGAGGTATACTCCGTCTTGTTGCATTTTACCTGTCGTTTCTGTATTGAATCTGGAGGATAAAGACTCGTGTCCCAGAGGCGGCATGGAACGCCAGCTCCGGCCAACGTTTCTCGTAAAAGTTCCTTACAATATGACAGAGGGGTACGTTTGTAAAGAGGGACGTCAGCTCGCATAGAGCCTTGCTCGAGGTCTCTGGGAACTCGCAGAAGGGGAGCAAGTTCGTTGGCGATAGTTTCATCTGGATCCGCCTCACCCTCGTAGGCCCAGGCGAGGAAAAACTCTAGCTCGATGCCAAAAGACACGCGCAATGAAGCTGTTGTCGGATTCTCACTTGCTGGGGCGGGATCGTTGGCTGCTCGCACCGTCGTCGACGAAGAAGGTGAGCGCATAGCGAATAAGGCAAGCGCGGAAAGAGGAGAGAATACTTGGTGTATGCCTTTCACGATTTTGAGTTGTTGAATTGGCTTGCCTCCATTGAAGGGGCAAGCCGGTATTTATGTTGACCTCTTTTGCCAACACGAAGGCCAAGCAAAATGGACAAGCATCATACTGTGTGACAGCAATCGCACCATGTTGCCGCGCATCGACCTTGTGTCAGGGGCACTCGTGGAAAACATCATCTTTGTTCTTTTGTCGTGGCTTTGAACACGAGTTGCGGCGGCTCGGTCCGTCTATGCCCGCATCATGTCACGGACGCATGATTCAAGTCGAGCGGCAGGGTGATTTTCTCATTAATTCAAATCAATTCAATTCAATTCGCAAGGGGGGGACGATTGCTTGCCGGCTCGAAGGACATGCGCCAAAACACCTCCAGATCATGGCAGAAAACCGTCCCGTCCCTTGCGCAGCGGGGAATATCCATCCTTCATACCATCCACCATCTTCAAAGTCGTTGTTCATTAAGGTGACATTGTTCTGTCGCAGAAGGCCGGCGCAGCCAACAAAGGGGCATAAGTCGGAATGCTCAATACAGAGAAGCGAAAGGAGCGCATCTATGCAGGCACGTAGATTTAGACCACGTAAGCCAACGCGGCGACAGCGATGGCAGCGGCACCAAACATGGGCGCAGCCGTAGGTGCGGCGAAGCTGTCACCAGTGGTGGTCGTCTCTGAGGCACCGTCGGCGCTGCCAGCCGTGGTAGCAGCGTCGGTGGCGCCAGAGCTAGTCTCCGACGCAGCGCTGGTAGAGGGCGAGGCCGATGTGGTAGCGGTCGTCGACGCGCTCTTGCCGGCGTTAGCAAAGGCGTTCTGGAGGACGTCGGCGCCGCAGACAGAGTCACGCTGCTCGAGACAGGTCTTCTGCGCGTTGGCGTTGCCAACGGCGGCAGCGTTGCACTCGGAGAAAACGCGGTTGCAAATGTAGGTGGGCAGACTGTCGCTGTAGTACTGGAGGCCGGGTGCAGTACCGTTGCTGCAAAGGCACTCGTACTGAAGTGTTTGCTGGAATCATATTAGTGGACGCAAGCAATGACAGAGGGTGAGTGGTGGCTTACGTAGTCGCAGTTGTTGGTAGGAGCAGGGTTGCAGAGCTCGTCACAGACGTTGCGCTGGCCACTGCACCAGGAAGCTGACGTTTGTTAGTGGATAACAGGACAAGGATGCGACATGCAGTGAAACATACCACGCTCGTTGTCAGAGATGTTGTTGATGTCGTTGAGGTCAGAAGCGCTGTAGACCTTGCGTTGGGCAGAGACAAGAGTGGCGGCGGCCGAGAGGGCCAGGGCGAGAGTGGTGGCGACGCGCATGTTTGCGGGCTTTGAGATGGGAAAGTTGTTGGGGCTTGAACTGGGCGAGGTAGACGTTGGAAGTAGTAAGCTGTCTCGAAAGGCTACTGCGATAAGACGGGAATCGTGATGCTGTGCGTATGATGCCGTGTAGAGGTAGACAGAGGTGTATTGTGTTTCTGAGGAGGGCGAGGGAGAGGTGTGAGGCAGAGGGGACGGGGGTCACGATGTTTATGAAGCAGCGGCAGGTAGGTGGGCGATGGCTTCCTTGCACCCTCCTACACCATGTGTGCGCCTGCTTCCGTAGACCAGTGGGCGCTAGGCTCTAGGCGGTTGGGTTCAGAGCCAGAGCTCGGTGCTTGGAAACCTTGGCAGGAAGGCGAGATGGGGCAACGGTATCTCCTTCCCTGCCCGCCCGCACGCATGGGGAGGTGGTCCTTCCTCCCACGCCCTCGCAAACAGCACGCAAGCAGGAGCGAGGGACGCTGGAAAATCGGCAGGAAGTCGCGTCCGGACGAGAGACATGAACACCGGGTGTGGCGGCGTTCCACTATTGAGCTCCACGCTACGACGCACTCGGCAAGGCGGCAGCGGGTGGAGGATTCGACCGGGGGTTCTCAGGTACGTACCGCCTCTTGGGTGCACTTGGCATCATCTACCCCCAAGACTTTTTGGCCGTCATGATCATGATCATGATCATCATCTGCTCGTTCTTTCATCAATTGACCCTCTACAACATGATACGGGCTTTGGTCGATTGCTCTGTGCGCGCACTTAAACGGGTGGCCTCCTGTTTGCGGTACTTTGAAGCCCTGTGCATCATGACGTCCGAGGCAGCACTGTCGCTTGACAGTCGCACCACCTGGCGCGTCTGGTTTCGCTTTGGGGGTGTCTCGTCTCGTCAAAGCCCTGCCATGTGGGAGACAAGCAGACGAGGAATTTGCAGACAAAACCCCTCCTCGCTCCGCTTCTCCGAAGCCCACGACATGCTCCATTCCAGTCATGACTGATTGCAGTGATTTTGACATTATGCGTCAGATTGCTCTCATTTCAGGTCGCATGTGCTATTTGCAACCCCCCCCGGACTTTCCGTCTCGGCGTCCTCAGCAGATGTTGCTCGTCAAATTTCAGAGACTCACATTCCTCACCGCGCTATGCCGCTTCCAGACAGCTCCAGCCACAGTTTTGAGCCCCTCCGCGCTCGACGTTCTAGGTACCCCTGGTACACACAGTTGCCCGTTACATCGCTGTGTCCGTCAAACCGGTCAGCCGTTCGCTGTTGCCGGGGACGACTGTCTCGGGCATGCCCTGGCGTCCTGGCGCCCCGGAGACCTGGGGACCTGGCTAATCTAAGGTAGGTACCTGGGCGAGGAGCTTCCCCTCCAGGGCATTCATTCGCCTGCATCTCCCTGCCACACCCCCTTCCTGGCGCAATCACACCAGACCAGGCCACCCACTGCGCCCTCATCTCGCCGCGTCTCATCTTTTGTTGAAACACCACACCCATCCGCCTCCGTCCAATTCTGCCACGCGAATGCTCTCCCTTGGTCGATCAAGTTGTCAAGCTCTCTAGCTTTTCTTTCCCGTTTCCATTACATGCCCGCAATCGTCAACGTCCAACCGACGCTTTCTGTTGTTCTTTGCAAGCCAAGGCTTTATTGCAAACGAGCAGACACTTGGGTTGCCCCGATCATCGTGGCACATGTCATCGACTTGAGCCTGCTCCACATGACAGGTAAACTCCACCACTCTGAGAATCCTAGCTCTGCTCCCTTGGACACCCCCCTTCCAGGCAGTGAGGGGTCTATTGAGGTTACAACGGATGGTCGGCCGATATTCCTCAACTCACGGCCCCTATCCACCAATCATTCTCCACGAGCTGTCCTTTTGGATGACCACGCGGCCACCGAAATTCCAGACCGAACACCGACCAAGCCTTTGTGAGCGCCTCTTGTTGTGTTTGGTCGCGTAGACCTGGGTGCAGCTGAACCTTCGGGCTTGCTGGTACCACGATGACCTTCGAGTCATGGATTTGATCAACACCTCCAGCTCGTCACCACTGCCCGCCTGGCTCCCGTACTCCCGCCGTTTTCCTTAGCGCGCAAGCCGTCCCTCTGTAAGTCTCTGTCTGTGGTCTGGCGCCACGCCTTGGCTTCTCGGGCTGGGCCTGTCACGCTGAAGAGCTTGCTAGCTCCATGCCCACCAACCCCTCTCTTTTGGTCGCCCGCGGCTGTTCAGAGGCCCAGGGCAGCGATAGATAGGTACACCTGCGGGTTCGGGCAACAACTCCCCCTTGGCGATGCAGCACTGCCGCCTACAGGACCTATGGTCTGATTCGAGTGCGGCCTGTCTTGGCTTGGCTTACCGCCGCCTCGCCTCATTGAGCAACCCGAAGAGGATCGTCACGAACGAGTTCCATTTCTTTAGACATGTCCTCTGGCTGATTGTCCGCCGAGGCCTTCAATCCCTCGGAGGCGGCAGCGGGATGGAACAACGAGACGCCTGTGCTTTAGGCGGCATGGCATTCTGTACAATGCCCTGTGCACCACGTCTTCCCTGTATGTACCAAGGCCGTGCCGTGCATCCGCTAACCTACATGCACTTGTAGCACCTCCCCTCTTCCCAAGCACCTGCACCCACCACCCACCAGATCTCGGCAGCTTCAGCGACGATCCCCCGCTCTCCAATCCGAGTCTTCGTCACCATACCACACACCAACCATTGACTTTTCCTCGCGATGAGGTGGTGTGCTGGCTGCCTCGTATCCAGGCACCTGCATCTGCAACCTGAGGTACCCGAACAGAGTGTTACTCCACATAAGTATCAATCGACTGACGCCTCCCTTCTCCGACTCGATACCATACAACGTGTGGCTTAAGCCCAACCATCTCAGGTGTGGCTGACCCCTCGTTGACGTTCCTTCATCTGCCGAACCATGTTTCGTCACAAAAAAGACAAGGGGTCGCTTTGACAATATGTTGCGACCAGAACAAAGCACCTCTCGTCTACCACATTGCGTTATCACCTTCATTTGAATTGCTCAGAGAGATATGCCGCATCCTCATGGGCAGCGACCACTCGTTAGGATATGAAGAAGAGAATGACGATCGTCGTTGCACCTCACCATGAACACCCTTCGCCCTTGTCCAAAAGTTGGAGGTCGCCCTGGTGACTCCACCAACGACAGGGGCAGACAGAACTTTAAAAGTGACGATATCCATGCCCTCTTTACTTTAAAACCCTATGCAGCCATCAGCCTGGCAGGAGTCGCGTGCTTGGACGCTGTCCTTCCAGGAGCAATCACCAGCCTGCAGTGAGCCATCCAGCACCTCACCTCCACAATGGCGATGGCCGTCTTGTTCGCTTTTTTCTTATGGGCCATGGCCATGGGCTTGTGGGTATGGAAAGTCAATCGAGGCATGGCTACGACGCCTCCCGAAGCTCTCAAACATGCAACAGATAGCCCATGGCGCGCAGAAACGGCGAAGGAAACCTATCAAAGGATGGAGAAACAACCTTGCGACTGGGGCCCGCATCTTCCGCCCAAGCTTGCAAGGCGCTATATCGTTGTTGGAGGCTCAGGTCAATAGCATTCTAACCCCATGTCTTGCTTGCATCAGCAATCTGACACGCTACAGGTTTGGTTGGTGGCCAAATTGTACTTCAGCTCCTACAACGCGGTCAGGCGCCGTCGTCAATCCGTATCATTGACTTTGTTCCACCAACACGGGACGAACTTCAGATCCCTCTAGCCAGAGAGGTGGAATTTGCCCAAACCGACATTTCGTCTGAAGCCTCTACTCTTGCCGCATTCAAGAAGCCGTGGCAAGCAACTTCTGCCAAGCTCCCCTTAACTGTCTTTCATACTGCTGCTGCTATCCGACCTTCAGAACGCCACCCCTTGGTGTACGACCGCCATGCCCGTGTCAACATTGGCGGCACCGCCAACGTACTTTCTGCTGCGAGAAGCTCTGGAGCCGACATCTTCATCTTCACCTCGTCCTGCTCTGTGGCACTCCGTCCCGTGACCTGGTTCAGCCCTTTGTGGCGACGTTGGCCGACCAACATTGTTCAGACGATGACTGAGGACGACTTCTCTGCCCCATTGCGACCGCACGAAGATTTTCCCTCCAACTATGCGCGTAGCAAAGCCGAGGCTGAACGTCTTGTCTGCGCAGCCGACTCCCCTGTCTCGGGCCTGCGTACTGGTGCCATCCGACCTGGCAACAGCATCTATGGCGGCGCAGGTGACTTCCTCGTTAGTGCCACCTTGAATCTTCCAACCCTTCCTACCTGCACAGCTCCTTGGGTACAGAATTGGGCTCACGCAAGCAACGTCTCCCTCGCTCATTTACTGCTCGAAGCCGCGTTACTGGGTCCTCATGTGGACAAAGCACGTATTGCTGGTCGGCCCTTTCTTGTCACCGATGCGGGACCCCCCTTGCGCTTCGATGACTTTTACACCGCCATGAAGGCCGTGTCCGCCACATTTCCGACCGTTCTATACCCTCCGCCAGTTCTGATGATGGCGATTGCGCGGATTATCGAAGTCTGGTGTGTGGCGCTATGGAAAATGCCATTCTTGGCCCGTTTGGGCATGAGGGAGCCGAAGAATCCTCTGTACTTGCTTCAACCAGCATGCTTCACAGCGGCTGTGAATTGCCTCATTGATGACTCGGCGGCAAAGAGGCCGGTTGAGGAGGGTGGTATCGGATACCAGGCGCGATGCACGACTCTGGAGGGGATCTGCATGCAGTTGACGCACTTGAACCGGGCGGTCCAAAACAAACGAGTGAATGGAAAAGGAGCAACGAGAAGTATCTTGAAGGATGTGATTGAGGTGGGGGCGGAACCTGCTGCAAGGGTTGCTTGATGGGCGGCGCGTCCTGATACTTCACAGTTAAAATCATCACTTGGATGCTCTGGATCGAAACTCACAACCACAGACAAGTAGGTTCATGCGAACAAGCACATCTCTGCCCTCTCATCTTCCACAGGAGCAAAGCTCTTAGTTGCTATTTTGAAACCAGTGATCTAACATGCCCAAGTAGTTTGATGCCAGTACTTCTGACTAGGGAGTCTAGCCCTATCGTCGGTTAAGCCGACACAGCGTGGTCAACACAGAAACGCTTTTTCTTGCCTTCAAGTCTCTTTACGCCTTTGAAATTGGCTTCGGGGCTTGCTCCCAAGCCATGGGCGCAACGGCACCAACGAGCATAGGCGCCACACCAGTCTCTCTTGCATCCTGGCCGATCATGTTTGAAGGGAAGCCGAGCTCGAATTCTTTGACGCTTTCCAGCTTGGCAATCTGTTCATCGGTCAAGCGAATACTGAGGGCTGTGATGTTGTCCTTCAAGTGCTCCACCTTCCTGCCGCCAATCATGGGGAAGACATGTCTCGTCTTCTGCAAGACGTACGCGAGCGCAATCGCCTGGACGGACTCGGTGCCATGCTCCGTAGCCACCTCTTCGAGTGCCTCGCTGATCCGACGCTCAATGTCCGTCTGCTCGGCGCCAAAGAAGCTACGCAAGCCCTCGCCAGCCTTGGCGCGCGCCTCGATCTGCTTCTTGCTTTGGAACTTGCCGCCGCCCAGGACGTCCCACGGGCAGAGGGCCATGCCAAAGTGGTGGGCCATGGGGATGATGTCGCGCTCAAAGTCGCGCAGCAGCACATTCCACCTGCCCTGGTAGATGGAGAAGGGCGTCTTGCCGTGGGCGCGCGCGTATGTGTTGGCGGCCGACACGACCCAGGCCGGCGTGTCCGAGGCGCCGAGGTAGAGGACCTTGCCCTGCTCGACGAGAATGTGCAGCGAGTCCATGAGCTCCTCGATCGACGTCGTCCAGTCCCACCAGTGCACGTACAGGAGGTCGATGTAGTCTGTCTGCAGCTTGCGCAGCGAGTCGCGCACCGACATGTGCAGCGACTTCTTGTGGTTGCCGCTAAAGTTGACCGTCTTGCCCTTGCCGAGCGCCCATGAGCGGTAGTCGGTGGTGAACTTGGTGGCGATGAACATGAGGTCGCGGTTGTCGCGCTCCTTCATCCAGGAGCCGATGAACGTTTCCGAGTCCTCGTTCTGGTAGTTGTTGGCTGTGTCGATGAAGTTGCCGCCGGCATCGTGGAAGGCGTCAAGGAGCTTGAAGGACTGCTCCTTGTCCATGGAGCCCATGTTCTCGCTCCATGCCTCGCCGATCGACATGGCGCCGAGGCACAGGGGGGAAACGCGGACGCCGGCCGTGCTCGAGAGGACGCGGTAGCGACCGAGCTCGGTCGCGGGCTCCGGTGCGGGCTGGAACATGCTCGTCATGATGAGTGAGGGAGGCTTATGTTAGGGCGACTGGATCTGAAGTGTAGTGTAGAATGTTGCAATATACGATGAATGTCGACTTTCAGTGCACAGAGGCTGATGAACAGGAAGCGTACCTCGCCAGGTATTTATACACCAATTTGCATCGCCATATTGCGAGCCGCCACGAAATCAGTTTCAGGGCGGAGTGAGGAGAGGCTCATGGTGACGTTGTCTAAGCTCCGAAAGTCGATCATGGCGCTGTAGCGTATCGCCGAGATCTCTGCCCGTCGTGTGCAATGGGCCAACGCGAAATCCCCCGTAGGCCCCATGCAGGCGTGCTTGTCTTGGTGAGGAGGCGGTAGGCGGTAAGCCCCCCGCATCAAACTTAATAATCCCTTTCAAAGCACATGCCCCAATTTGTGGTGTTTAGTTTTAGCTCCGTCTAACTCCGGGCCACGCTCCCCCAAAATACAGACGATGAACTCATTTGAGGAGGGAGATACACAGTCTTAACTCCCCCATACGATTTGATTTGCGATTGCCGTGCACAAGCCGGAGGGTTATTTCTTTGGGCGACCAATAGCCACTGCAACCTTGGCACTCCGTCCTAGTGGGTGTTCCCTGAACAGTGATGATGGGCACCTCTATGCAGACGGCTTACTTGTACAACGTGCACGGATTCTGGCATCGACAAAGCGCACACCAAGTGGCCAGTACTAGTTGGCTGTACGCATCATGAATCACCAGAACGACTGGACATCATTTGAGACGGCTTACTTCCATGGTGGCTTCAGGCCCCCCATGCATGTTGTAAGGCATGTGCATGATCGCTCCATCAGCGATCGTCTTTTTCAAGCCTTGATCAAGGTCGCTTCATCATGGACGTGCATGCGCAGAAAATGGAAATCAACCATGTTCTGTTTAGGGATCATTGAACGGATAGACGCCACCAGTGTTCTTCTGGCTTGACTGCACCTCATGCACCTGAGACTGGGCTTTGAACTAGTGCCAGTTTCGCGTGACACGGAGGCCTGGCATTTGGGAGACCGTTGTAAACAAAGCCGGCTGCATGGTAGAATGGCTTGCACTTCGGAGCGTCGTTTGAGAGAGTTGTACCGCGCTTTGGTTGGACCTTGTCCTGGAATTTGAGAAGTGAGAAAGGCCGAGATAGTCACCCCAAGATGCTTCGATTTGCGACGCTGCTCATTTCTCGTTTGAAACTTCCAGCGTGCAGTAGAACTCTTGCTTCGCTAGGAAGGGATCCTTTTTGGATGAGACAGAAAGTCTGGGATACGACAAAGCCATTGGTGTGCTACTATCGGTAGCATCTGGGCATCACGCTCACGTTCTGGAACAAGGCTGAAGCAACTCGTCTGCGCTCAGAGCCACACACGTTCATGCAGTCGAGCACCACATGCTCAAGGATACGAGAAAAAGAAAACATATAAGCACAAGAATAGTACTAACAAGTCCAACTCATGACCATCCACCTGTGTGATATTGCCACTGCCACCCTCAACATGCATCGATTTGCACCCTATCCACCCTATCCACCCTCAAAACGCCGTCCGATGGCGGAGAAGACAGGCCCGACACTTGTAGAGAGCGGAAAATCCGAAGACAGTGGTTCAATGAGCAGCATCGATAGTCTTATGAAGCGTATTGCTTTGTTGCCTCACGAACTCAAGGCTCAAATTATTTGTGAGACGTTATGTGAGGAGCGCTGTATCTTCACCCTTCTACCGAAACCACATTGCTGGCTCTGCTCGGACGGTAAGAGCGCCGCGATCACACCTCACATCGAGGTTTATACCAAAGGACACCTCGGCAAACGTGGAACAATTACCATCGGAAAAGACCATGACCATTTTTCGGTGAATGTCATCCCGCATGACTTTGATCTCAGGCCTTGTAATAATCTGCTTCGCCGCTCCTTCCCGGCTGCATACTTGCATGGGCTTCAAGACGCTGGCCGCAGGGCTGTGCACGCTTTTCGGTTCAGGGCGCGCTACGACAGTGTCTCCAGCGAAGAGCAACTTAGTGAATGGATGCGAAAGTTCAAAGCAACATGGACTGACGAAGGGTTGGTGAAGCATCCTCCTCCCAAGGCAGGCTCTGGGAATACCAGCAAAAACAACCGCGATGCCCATACAGCCACCGCCATGTCCGTGGATGGCTCTGAAGGCGGGCCAGATTTCAACCGATTTCGTCACCTACTACTAGCCAACAAAGTGCGCGATCGAGATCCTGACTTCGAGAGCATATGGGAACTGTGTCGCCGGCGCTCCGAGATTTTGTTTCCATATCACCGATTCTTGTGGTGCCCCTCGGAGTATCGGGAGCACATGACACACGAGCACCGAGCAGTGGTCCTGCAGCCCGACTGGGCCATTCTGAGCCGGAACTTGGAAACCTTGACGTTGGACCTACGACGGAAGCAAGCCTTGACCAACATAGCCGTATTCGAGGCTGCCAAAGTCATGAGTGCCAACCTTCAGCTCCGACGTCTTTTGCTCGTGGGGTTACGGACCGAAAAGAGACAAAAGCTCGTCCGCAGCACTCTGAAAGGGACCCCTGCGAACGAGACAATGTTTGCGTCTTCGGAGCACCAGACGATTGAAGATCTAGAGGAAGTTGAGTCTTTCGGCAAGTTCAAAAACTGGGTTGCAGCGTTTCGGGGAGCACTAAGGCCGGGGGGAGAGCTGGTGTTCGTCGACATTTTGGCATGACCACAGCAGTAAAGTTCTGGCTTCTATGGCATCCTACGTGGACGAGACATAAATTTTACGTTCGTAGATATCAAACCAACTCTCTGCTGACTATTGATGAGACGGGAATATACTACACATGTTTCTTGGGCGAATCTCTTTCAAGTCGTCAGACCTGCGTGAAACTGCATGGCTTTGACGTGATGAGGGCAAAACAACAGGAATTGTGATTTTCCTCAAGGGAGATGAACGAAATGCCTCTGAAAATCGTAGATTTAATCCTGATCCGTACTACAGCCGTCGAGACCGAGTCGTGTCGAATCTCAGACCGTACGGACAACCCCAACAACAGCCCGCGCAGCTCCGTCAAGTGCACCAGGTACGCCGACCTGTAACGTCACTCATCCACCCATAGCCTTCCTCGTGCTCTCGGGCATCTTGTCCAGCGGCAAATACGTGCCCTTTGTCTCCCCTGCCACCTCGACAGGCTGCGCATCCGACAGCACGAACAGCATGCGCACGGGCTCGTCGCCCGCCGTCTTCCAGCCGTGCATGACGCCGCGCTGAATAACGACCTCGCCCGGGCCGAAGACGCGCGAGGCACCGTCGTCGAGGAAGTACTCGATCTTGCCTTGCAGGACGACGCCGTAGTCGAGCGACGAGGTGCGGTGCATGAAGGGTATGTTGCCGGGCGCAAAGTCAACGATGCGACAGACGGTACCGCCCGACTTGTGGAGCGTGTTCATGCTAGGGACATTGTTGGCGTAGTGCTCCTCGAGATCGACCTCGTCATTGAGATTGGCTGGAAAGGTGGTCGTCGTGTGAAGGTGCCAGAGGGTGGTCTGAGGAATTTTGTTGTCGGGCTCGGCTTCGAGAGGTTGAGATTTGAAGACCGACCTGCCTGTTTCGGGGTCGTGTGATGTGAGGTGGTATACCGGAGGTGGAAGGGCAGTGGCCCTTGGGTTGCTGTCTGCCATGATGTAAATCCTGTTCCGTAAGAGGGTCCAATTTGACTGGAAAGGTAAGGTGAAAGGAACAGCAGCAGATTCGACGGTGAGGCAGTTTAATTACTCGAGGCCATGTTCTTATAGAATGTGCCCTCTGCGAGTGAGACGCTGACTCAAAGCCACCCCTCAACGCACCTCGAGGTAGGAGGCGAGCTGACGTCTCACCCCGTCTCGCATTTGACCATGCGTCAGACAGAGTTGCCGCCTATACCCCGCAAAGGTGTCGATCAATCAACATGGATTGTTTTCGACCAAAGGAAACATCAGCCGATACCATTGCCCGGCTTACTCGTTGGCCTGGCCTGTGCGGGTTCGACCAAAAGTCTAAGAGCCTTCATCCCGACACACCAAGCGTGGTATGCCACACCAACGCTGATCCGAAGACATCCGAGCCCCTTACTCGAGAGACCAATCACAAATTGATTACCCTAATAAGCTCACGTTGTACTTGTGATGCCATGGAATCAAGCTTTGCAGTTTTGGAGGGTCGGTCTCCTCTCCTCACCTCATGAGGGTCCATAACGAATGCGCTACAGGGGTCATAGTCGTCGTGCATTTCCCGCATATCGAAACTATCTTTCATCCCTGCCGAAGAAGCCTCGGATATACTTGACACTTAGGGAGATGAGCTGTGCTTAATTGCCGACTATCCTGGATCGGAATGGTCTATTCAAGTCTTCCCTTCCATTACCTTGACGGCGTTGAGTCAATGCCCTGGGCAATCCTACGCGCTTGGAGCTGGTCGAAACGGCCCTGTGAGGCGGTTTTTGTAAGGTCGTTCAAAGTAGAGCCTCAGCCTACCAGGGTTACCACCCTCCCAGCAAATCATCCTAGCTCCACGCAATACTCTAGCTCATCTTTGTTTCAAGCTCATGCAACCATGTGAGGATGTGACTTCAAGGCTGATTCATCCGCATACTCCATGTCACTACAGTGAATACTGATGTTGACTACCGGCCCTTGGATTTTGCTTCGAAGCATTTCACCTATACCGTTGGGGGTTTCCCCGGCTCCATCATGTTGATTACTATGCTGCTTAGTCCGTCCGCTCGAAAAGGAGACTCGTCTTGCTATAGTCGGGGATCTGGTGCATTAACTTCCCCCGATCCCTCAAATGCGGAAAAGTCCTCCAACGAACAACCCGACCGTGGTTCGTTTGGTCGGTCTTCTCTTAATTAGGCAGAGTGGGCTTCATGCTCATGCTCATAGTGATGAAATGATGATTGCGAATGCGGGCTTTCGGAATGTGGACAGCCCGCAGAAGGGCATGCAAGAGATGTACGATCCGATTACTTTCATTTGTCAAACCTTGGCGGCAATGTCTCGCGGTACTTGACCTGTCCTCAGAGTTAGACCATAGTACCCTATCGTGAACGTGAAATTGCCATTCCACTCGAATCATCAGTACAAATCCTGACTTCTTATGCGGACATCAGTCCATGTGTCACCGAATGTCAGAGCGTTGTTTAGAGCAGAGTGAAGGGGTCTTCTATAGGGTCCGTAGATAGATAGAATATAGGTATAGGATAGGAATATATCTGAATTCTAGCCCTCCGCAGCTTAGGGGGCTATCCGCAGCCTATATATACGTTCTCTCCGGGCCCTTAGCTCCCTAGCTAGCCCCTTAGCTTAGCAGGCCCTCAGTGGCTCCGCAGGGGTCCTGACACTGAATACCTCAGAGCAGGTATAGTCAAATTTTAAGTAAATAATATTTCCGGTGCTAGGTTTGCAAGGCTTTAGACCTATTAGTATCGTATGCGTCATGTCGTCATAAACTTAATGCTCTGAACGGCCGTGTGGATATACCGCTCAGCAGCCCATATAAAATTAAGAGCGTCTTTCTGTCACGGTCTCCCACCTGATGCCCTCATGCCCCCCAGACTGTAGCTCACCCTTGGATACCCTATCCCACCACTCTCCCAATTTCACCACCTTGCCCTCACGTCGTGCCTCCTCCGCAGCAAACACTACGAGATGGCTCATGATCGCCTCACCCAGCGAGCACCCGATGAACTCATCCTGAGCCGTCCGCACCTCCATGCCCTCATTCTTAACTCCCTGCACAGCTAGCACAAACTGACGTGCCAGACCCATATCGCCACCACCATGGCCGCTCAACTCCATCTTGGGGTTATAGACAGTCCTCTGCCCCGTACTAAAGTCTTCGACTGTGATGGTCCTCGAGTCGGCAAAGATCTCTCCGTTGGTGCCATAGATGTGCGAGTAGCGCTCACAAATCTTCTTCGTCGTGGCGACCATGTGCAACGTTGCCTGCTTGGCAAACCGCGGCGGCGCTCCTTCGATAGAAGGCTCGTCGTCCCATGCGAGCGTGACGAATTGGTCATCGCAGACGTCATTGTCTGACTCGTAGACGCATCGGCCAAACCAGGGACGAGCCGCGACCTCACGATCTGGTGTGGCCGCGCTGTAGTCCTCGCCAAGTTTCGTGGCAAGGGCCTGCTTCGCCTGCGCCAGATCGGGCATGTCTTCAATCTCAGGTAGAACGATCTTGACGGGCCAGCTGCGGTTCCCTGTTTCTAGGCTAGCCAGCTCGGGTCCGAGATAGATCTTCTTGGCGGAGAACTTGCAGCCATCGTCGCCGAGTGGACAGGTCATGCAATTTGTGGCATTCCCAGCGGCTATGGGCTTGCGAGCCTTTCGATAGGTGGTCAAGGCCCCTGTTGATGATACAGAGACTGGCACGTGAAAGGGATGGGCACTGCCGGATTTGTAGGGAGCGGCGAGCAACCAGAGGAGGAGGTCAACGTCATGACAGCTCTTTGTGAGGAGGGAAGGGGCTGTGGTTGCCTCGCGTCGCCAGTTGCCACGGACGTACGAATGGGCAAAGTGCCACCAACCCACTGGCTCCGTGTGCTCAATACTGACAATATCGCCGATAGCACGGTCTGAGAGAAGCAGCTGGCGTAGAAGCATGTTGTGGGGGCTGTAGCGGAGGACATGGCCGACAGAAAAGAGGGCGGAGGGCTTCAGGGCGCGATGGATATCTAGACAATCTTTGAGGGTTGTCACAAGTGGCTTCTCGCAAAGAGTGTGAAGGCCAAGGGGGGCCAGTGCCATGATGACTTCGCGGTGCATCTCATCTAGAACGCAAATGAGGACACCGTCAACACCAGGAGGAACTGAATCGCCGGCAGAAGCAGCGGCTCGGCGGGCGGTTTCGTATGTCAGGAAAGCATTCCAGTCAGGAAAAGACTGGCCTTCTTGAGGGGAGCCATCTGCACCCCAGATGAAGTCGCGCCCAAATTCGGTGCGCTTGTAGGGTAGGGGCTCAGCAACAGCTGCAATGATGCCTTCGGTCTCGTCCGTGATAGCGCCGGCGTAGGCATAGCCACGAGAACCGGCACCAATGACGAGGAAACGAGGTGGCGACATGGTGATGGGGCAGGCCGAGAGTAACAGTCTGGAAAGATTATGGTGGTACTGCTCGGCCAAAGCTGTTCACAGAATGTCTTCCTTTTTATGACGGCAAAGATGATCGATCCTATGACGGACTGAGGCGGTCAACTTCAGATGTAACGTTGCGTAGGATGTGCGCAGCTGGGTGGTGGCTGCATGTAAGTGACCATCAGGCTGCGAATGATGAGTTGGAGATGTCGTTCTGCATATCGGTGCTCAAGTGGACGACGAGTGTATGGGTTGAGCAGCTCAACATGAGCTCCTTCTTCCTGTTCGTGTCGAAGACAGGGTGGCGGGGCCCTTGGCAGCCGTTGACAGCTGAAGATTTTCCTCGGAACCAATGACAAAGTGCCCATTACCGACCCGGTGAAAGTCTCGGTGAGATCCCGGACCAGCGGTCAAAATGGGGACGGAGAAAGGCTCAAGAAGAATCGGTTGAAATGATGATGTAAGTCGTTGCTGTGGAACGCTCTCAACTCCACCTCGCCACAGCTCAGGTATTAACCGCAGTAAGTTGAAGCACCTCGACCTTTGCGAGGCAGTCCATTGACACCGATCTTCAACACACAATGGACTACCTCCGCTCTCGTGCTACGCCAGCCAAAGCTGTACCTCAACAGGCAGCTTCGGATGGACCTCTCGTGTGGATTGACTGTGAGGTAAGTTTCTACACCCATCGAACCATGTAACAGCAATGAGAATCTGACCTTGCCAGATGACGGGCCTTGACCCTGACACGGAGGAGATCCTCGAGATCCACTGCATCATCACGACAGGCAACCTCGAGCCGCTCGACGGCCCCGGCTGGGGTGTCGTCGTCCACCAGCCGGCGTCGCGCCTCGACCAAATGGGCGAGTGGTGCACTGACATGCACGCCAAGACGGGCCTCACGGAGGCAGTCCTTGCCTCGACGACGACGCCTCAGCAGGCGGCGGAGGGCCTGCTGGCGCACATCAGAAAGTACGTGCCAACGCCGAAGGTGGGCCTGCTCGCAGGTAACACGGTGCATGCGGATCGAGGCTTTCTGGCCAAACAACCGTATACGCCCATTGTCGAGCACTTACATCATCGAATCGTAGATGTCAGCAGTCTCAAGGAGGCAGCGAAGCGATGGTGTCCGAGAGAGATAGTCGAGGGGGCGCCGGTCAAGACAGGGACGCATCGCGGAAGGGAGGACATCGAAGAAAGTATCGCCGAGGCACGATACTATCGTGAATTCATCTTCGGCGCCACGTGGAGTCAGGGCCGGGAGACTTTGGCTACGGAGCCGACAAGCGACGATGAACAATGGGCGAACAACTTGATGTAGCTAGCTGGCTTGCTTGTAGAGACAACCCGTGGTAGCTGCAGGCTGCTGAGGGCATGACCCGTAGACGAAGTGGCATCCATTGACTCAGGACTAGCCAGTCAGGCGGCGTACCGTAGCATCGTGGAGCCTACCCCGGATGTGCCTCGCTCGCCATTGTAGACTCATGTCGATCAAGAAGCCTGGCAGAGGTTCAATTCCATGGAGCTGCAAGATTGAAAACCCAATGTCGATTCAATCTCGGCGCATTGTTCGCCAGAATCCTCGATCTCAGCAGTGGCAACCACCCCTGGACGCTGCTTTCCGCGCGCAAATGATATCACCTGTGGCAACTACGAGCGATGCAGCAGCTGGAGGCGGACCCCACCATCAGCGACAGCTTCTGGTGTAGCGCCCTCAGCCAGACCCAATGCTACCCCCAGCCCAAATCTCCCTCTTCCAACTTTCGTCCCAACAAACCCTCTTCCACCATTTCTTCCTCCTTCTCCATCCCAGATTTTTGCTTCGAATTGCAATCCACCATGAGCGTTCAGACCGTCGAATTCAAGCCCTTCCAGGACCAGAAGCCCGGCACGTACGTTGACTCTCATCTCCTGGAATCTGAATCATGCCACCGACCCCTCCATCCACCCCAGGTCCCAAATTACCCCGCCATTGCATCACTGCTTGAGAGCTCTGATGAGCTCCCCTCCCCATCAAGCCTATTCGTTTTGCGACACGTTTTCAAGCTCCCCTGTCAAGTTACTGACATGCATACAGCTCGGGTCTTCGCAAGAAGGTCACCGTCTTCCAGCAAGCTCACTACAGCGAGGCATTCGTCGCCAGCATCCTTCTCTCTATCCCAGAGGGCGTTGAGGGGTCCTTCCTCGTTATCGGTGGTGATGGCCGCTACTGGAACCCCGAGGTCTGCCAGCTGATCGCAAAGATTGGTGCCGCCTATGGCGTCAAGAAACTTCTCATCGGCCAGAACGGCATCCTGTCCACGCCTGCTGCCAGCCACATCATTCGCAAGCGTCAGGCTACGGGCGGTATTCTGCTGACAGCCAGCCACAACCCTGGCGGTTCGTCCCCTGCATTTTCTACCTCTGCGACCAAGACTAATTGCGTTTCTTCAGGCCCCAAGAACGATTTCGGCATCAAGTACAACCTTGCCAACGGTGGTCCCGCTCCCGAATCCGTCACCAACAAGATCTACGAAACCTCGAAGACCCTGACCTCCTATAAGATCGCCGACGTTCCTGATGTTGACCTCTCCACCATCGGTACCCAGACCATCGGCAACCTCGAAGTCGAAATCATCGACAGCACCGCCGACTATACCCAGATGCTCAAGGAGATCTTCGATTTTGACCTCATCAAGAAGTTCTTCTCCACCCACCCCGACTTCAAGGTCCTCTTTGACGGTCTTCACGGTGTCACCGGCCCCTACGGCATCGACATCTTCCAGAAGGAGCTCGGCCTTGAGGGCGCCACGCAAAACTGCATTCCTTCTCCTGACTTCAACGGTGGCCACCCTGATCCCAACCTGACCTACGCCCACTCGCTCGTCGAGGTCGTCGACAAGCACAACATCCCCTTCGGCGCCGCCTCTGATGGTGATGGTGATCGCAACATGATCTACGGCGCCAACGCCTTTGTCTCCCCTGGCGATTCTCTTGCTATCATTGCGCACCACGCCCACCTCATTCCTTACTTCAAGAAGAACGGCGTTTTCGGTCTCGCTCGCTCCATGCCCACTTCTGGCGCCGTTGACCTCGTGGCAAAGAAGCAAGGCCTCAACTGCTACGAGGTGCCCACCGGCTGGAAGTTCTTCTGCGCCCTGTTTGACTCGGACAAGCTGTCAATCTGCGGCGAGGAGAGCTTTGGTACGGGCAGCAACCACATTCGCGAGAAGGATGGCCTGTGGGCCGTGGTGGCCTGGCTGAACGTCATCGCTGGTATCGGTGTTCAGAACCCCGGTGTCACCCCCTCCATCAAGCAGATCCAGAAGGACTTCTGGACTGAATACGGCCGTACCTTCTTCACCCGGTACGACTACGAGGATGTCGACTCGGACGGCGCTGCCAAGGTCGTTGGCACCCTCAAGGAACTCGTCGACAAGCCCGACTTTATCGGCAGCAAGATTGGCGACCGTGAGGTCACCGAGGCCGGCAACTTCTCCTACACTGACCTTGATGGCTCTGTGTCTTCTGGACAGGGTCTCTACGCCAAGTTCTCGTCTGGCAGCCGCATCGTCGTGCGCCTGTCCGGTACCGGCTCGTCTGGCGCCACCATTCGCCTGTACATCGAGCAGTACAGTAACGATCTCAGCACCTACGACCAGGATGCCCAGGACTTCCTGAAGCCTGAGATTAAGTTTGCCACCGAGCTGCTCAAGTTCAAAGAGTACGTTGGCCGTGACGAGCCTGATGTCAAGACCTAAATGAAGGCATAACGATACGAGAAGACTTGTACGTGACGAAACGGGGAGGGATCATGGGTACGAAATAATGCTAGGCCAACATTGAGCATGCGTGTTTTTTTTTGCATCACGTTCTTTCATATCTTATTTCGTCACTTGATTGTGATTCGATGGTAAAAATGTTGTTGCGGCCCAAGTGTGAGGGAAGAATGTTCAAATTGTTATGCTATTTGTGCGCTACTATCGGCCTTGCGATGTTACGCAAAGTAAGCAGAGAGGTATCTCGTCATGAATCGTCAGTCTCGTAAAACATTTTCTCGTTAGTCGTCAATCGAATTCTGTGCATACGTCCGCCTCATTACCGTCTCCCTCCCAATTGCCAAGCGCAAGAGTCAATCCGTCAAGCCACGATGCTGGGCTGATTCGTCGTTTCCCAGATGGCAACTGATGACTAGGACCCACCCTTGTATCTGCATATCATTCTCTCTCTCTCTCTCTCTTTCTCATCCAAGTCAGGACAGTGCATCAACAGCTATCGTCTCCCTCCTCTACAGTCGCCTTGTACGAAGAGGGTGCCGCCGTGACGGCAGACGGCCTCAGGGGGTTGAACAAGTCGCGAAAGTGCGCAGCGGCCACAGTCTCGACGAAATAGAGCTCAAAGGCGCCGGCGGGGCCGGGTCGTTGGTTATGGGACCGGTAGCGGGAGCAGAAGACGTAGATGTGGATATCACGGAGCCAGAGGCGGTGGGCGGACTTGCGGTGGAGCCATGTGAGGGAGGATGACTGATGGGTTACTGCGATCGCGCGGCTGGTCAGTCTCTGTAAGGCTGAGGAAAGGCAAACAAAGGAGGAACAGATAAAGGAATGGTAGAATCAGGCTTTGGTATTGGTGGGAGCAAACAATGACAGGCAGGGGTTTTGCATACCGAAAGCCGTCCACACGGGGCAGCGGCGAAGCTCGCCTTCCCAAACGGCGGCATGAAGACGGATCCCCTTGGTTTCGACATCCTCATATACGATCAATGAATGCTTAAAGCCGTCGTCTATTATCTGACTGCCATGCTATTAATACGATGATCCTTACTTTGTAAAGGAGGAGGGAGACGTACGCCTGGAAAAGTCGGCGTTCGCTTGACAGCTTGTATTCCTTGGGGCTGATCTGGATAGTCAAGGCGTTCCGGGCCTTCAGCGACATGAACGTGCAATAGAACAAGATCATTTCTGTATGTTTAGCGTCTGGTCTCGTGTTTCCAGGTAAAGACAAGCTAACTTACCCTCCCATGTCTTGAAGACCAGCGTTGCCCACGCTCTGGCGCATTGCGCAGTGGTACTCCATCTTCGCAATTGTAGGGCCCCACCCTCGCGACTGATGCAGAGCTCATGAGCTCCACGGAGAGCGTACCAGGGCGCACCGCTTTGAAATGATCGGAGGAGTAGATATGAGCCCTGATCCAGCGGGCTGATGTATACCATCAGAGCTAAGCGGTCATTATCAAATGGGCGCCTGAAGAGGATCTTTGGGTCTCGCGGTATGGCAAGATGACGCCCCCATGGCGTATGAGGGCCCCAAGAAGTAGACGATTTGGCTTGCTTGAGGGCCGTACGAGACGAAAGGGGGATGGAAAAGATCTGCTCGGCCCAGTGGCCATTCTGTGACTCTTTTAGGAGGCGTCGAAGGTGGCAACGATCAGCTTGACGAACCGGTTCTTGGGCCACGGGTATAGCCAGGGCCATGACTTCTCGACGGACGACAGGGCCTGCCTGATTTGCAGGTGGCACTTTCGCTGGTGAGCCTTCTACACGATCGCATGACGATGACGATAACGTACATATGCCGCGGAGTTCTCGAAACCTCATGATTCGGTTGTTGAGCACGTCCAGCGCATCGAAGTCAAAGTTTTTCGACCTGCATGGTCAGCTGAGAGCCTGATAGAGATAGGATATACTTACTGAGTCAAAAGCCGCCGGACCATGGTAAGGAAGTGATTGTACACCACGAATCGTTGAGGGAGGGGTAGCCCTTCCACCTCGTCCTTCATTTTATTGTACATCCTGCGCCACCGAATTTCCTTACGAACAGTCTTATCCTCGTAATACATGGTCATATCTCTGAGTGTGCGGGACAAACATGGCAGGACGAGGTTGAGGTAGTTGAGCGTCATAGGCACGCGGAAAATATGGACGTGGCCGCGGTCAGCAAGATCTCGCAGTATGCGGGCACAACCGCGAGTTTCTTCAATGACTGCTATCATATGTGGGTGAAAATTCTCGGGCAAAGCAAGGCGAAGGCCATCGAGACGAATGGCAACTATATCAGCGCGTTCGGCTTCAATACAGCAGCCCTGAAGGAGGTGCACATCGGCCTGGCCGGCACGCTCTATGGCGAGGGTCGGCATTGTGGAAGGGAGCGACCTAGTAGTTCATCGCGAGCCTACTCGGAGGGTGGTGGTCGCCGCGACAGAGCAAGTGGAGGCCGATTTCCGCGGCTCATGCCTATCAGAAATCTTGTTCAGTGTTGATTGACTGGAGCGGCTTGTAGCGACTGAGAATCAAAGAGTGAAATAGTAGTTGGTTTTCCTTCTGGTGCACTGCTGACGAGGGAGAGCGGATCGCGAGATGCGATTCCAGCGAGAAACTTCACTTCCGACGAAACAGACAAGAATGAGGTGACTCCGCAAATATCGGCAGTAGAAATCTGGAAGCCAGCATAGCGCCCTCGAACGGGTGACCGAGGGCCAAACCCAGCTGCACTTGCGATTCGAAGCTGCAGGCCGCGATTTGACGGACAACTCATGGACCACCACCACGCCACCACCGCCCCCCCATCGAACCGTGCGGTCGAAATACAGGGGAGGGGCACCGGGTGGCCGGTAGTGCTCACCTATGGGTTGTTGATCGCTCGTGCCTGTGTAGCTCAAGGCACGTCGTTTTCAGTGACTGATCTGTGTTCGTGGGCCACAAGGCCGGACAGCTCCCACTGCGCAGGCCTGTTCACCACAAAGCATTCTTAGTCTCCCGAGATCCGCCCCCGCACGAAACCCCAAGCATGCCATCGATCGGTCACCGTCCCCGTCAGTCTCTGTCATGCAGCACCAAGGCCAAAAAAAAAAGCCAACTGCGACCAAGTGTTTTCGGTGCCGATGTACAGCGACGATGCTTTGGCAGCAAAAGCAAGAGAGAGGAGAACAGGCGTATCGTATACTGACCAAAGGAGCTGCGCTGGGTTGCTCGACTTGCGGTGTTGGACGTCCCAGAGGCTGCCACGACAGCCAGCGTATGACCCCTGCGCGCTCATGCCACAGAGGCGGGCCTATCTGGCCCCATTCGGATAGCTCTGTGCAGCGCGCGTTGGCAGCAAGAAGGCTGATTCGGAGTTTGCGGGGGCTGTCGTTGCTCTTGCATGATGATGCCGCATATGGGGTGGATCCGTTGGCGGAAGTGCGGTGGTCAATTCAGACCAAGAACAAGAATGGGTTGGGCACCCTCGCTTCTACCGCTGAGAAAGCTCGCATGCCTTTTGGAATGGGGCAATGGGAAGAATGGCGGGCGGCGTGCGTGTCCCCGTGCCATATACCACATCAACTGCTCCCCTCGAACAATTTGTCGGATAAGGACGGGTGTGCAAGGTCACAGCACGCAAAGGACGTGGATCATGCTGTGGGCAGTCTCGCGGCAGCTCGCAAACCGACGTGGGATATGCGACTCGATTGACCGATTTAGTGAGAGCGGTGCAGAGAGGGATGCTGGCGAGACATGTCAGCCTGATACATGACGTTGTGAGTCCTGTGGGTTGGCAGCGAATAAATGGAAATGTCGCGAGGCAGAGATGGTGTTGTAGCTAGGTAGATCAGTGACTCTCAAACGAGAAGGAAAGGCTTTTGAAGCGAACGGAACCCACTCGGTAGAAATAGCACGGGACAGCGTCCTCCTTAATAATAAATCATGGATGTGGTATTGTCAATTGAGGTAGGAACGTCCACATCCCTCCTTTGGTGTGACTCAAACGCGAGGCAACCACAGCTCTGGGAAGCAGGCAGCAGCCCTGTCTATTTTAGAAGCGCAAACAACCCGCCACGGCAAGGCTTGATCCTTGTTGCAGGATCGTGCACCACAGGCCACTCAGTCGAGGCAAAGTGGAAAAAGGCAGCGGGATGCATGCTGAGCCAGTTATTTTCAGTCTTCCATACCTACCTGAGTTACCTAGTTTGACTTGCCCAGTCTAAGGATTGGCCCATTAGCATCCTCATATGCCGATGAGGAGGCCGTGCTCTGCTTCACACAGACTTGAAGACCCTGGCCTAGCCATGTCCGAGGCCTTCTACCCCGTTGAATCATGCTTCCAGAGTGTCGGCGACTGATGCGTACAAAGGTCGGGGATGATGGAGGAGCATCTGGGGACCACCTTGTCGAAAGTGCCGAAACGCGGGCCGCGTGGCTGAGCGGGCCGGCGTCGATCTCATCAGGCCGGATGTGGAGCTAGCAGCTCAAGCATTTTAACACGGCACATCTCGGCCACAACCCAAAGGATGGGGCCACGAATAGAGCATCATGGAAAGGGCCTTGGTCTGTCATGTTCAGTTCATCAAGTTAGGACGTCAATGCCTGGTCAGCAAGGATCTAACGCGCGATACGCGAGAACTAGCTAACAAGCTGCCGTGCCTAACCGAAGGTGCAGCAGAAGCAGACTGCACAACCATCCTGCCCTGCCGCCAGCCCAAAAGACACAAAAGGAAAGATTTCGCCCCTGCCAGCGACCCAAGTCCGTTTCCATCATACAGCCGCGCCGGAGTCCAATAGTACACGATAGAGAGAGAGAGAATGGTGGAGTTCAAAAACTGCGGAAGTCTTAAGCAGACTCGTCGTCCTCAGCCTCGGCCTGGGACATGTTAGTTTTACTGTGTGATGGCCCTGGTTTTAGGCGAGGAATACTTACGTTGTACGCCGCCTTCTCGTCCTCATAACGCTTCTTGTCGGCAACAGCCTTTGCCTCGTAGGGGCCGCGCTGCTTCTCGTTGAGGGCCTTCCAGCGCTCACCGAGAAGCTTGCCAACCTGGCCGAAAGAGATGCCGGGGTTCTCCTCACGGACGTTCTCGCGCTGCTCGTTGGCGAAGAACATGTAGGCGGAGAGACCGCGCTTGGGGGCGTTGGGGTCCTTCTTGGCCCTCTTGGCCTTCTTCTCACCGGCACCACGCTTAGCTGCGGCCTTAGGCATTTTGATGGTTCTACGGAGAGTGGTCAGTGTCCTGTTCAAGACGGCTAAGGCTTTGAATACTGTGCGAGTCGAAGAGAAAAGGCAGGAAGGGGGGTGGATAGACGGGTCGAGAGAATCGAACAGGCCAAGTGAACGCAGAGATGCGACAGCTTGTCCGTCGGACTATCGCCTCAGGGAAATTGGGTGGTGGTAGGTAGGTGTGGTGTGCTACGTGTGAGAGACCATGGATCGCAAACGCAATTGCACTCGCCAACGCGTCCCAATACGCGTTTGAAGCTTGAAATCGACTATGTTGGACCTCAAAACGTACCTGAGGATTGGTTTGGAAAAAGTTGAAAGGGTTGTTGTTGTTGGAGTCTGGACGCGTCAAGCTCTGGTTAGCTTGGTCAAGCTCAAGATAGATGCACGCGATGCACCCAAGATGCAATGCGACAAAGCTCGTGAAGCCACAACACAAGGCCCAACTCGATCGAAATCTATCGCATGGAGATGGGACCTGTGGTACGGAATCGGTTGCAAGTGATGCGACGCAGAAGATTGTGCAGTTGGTGGTTGTAGTGGTAACGATAATTCGTAGTAAAGTGGGTGACTTGGGAATTGGTGGAGGATGCGTGGGTGCAGAGGTACTCACGAGGTGTAGGCACGAATTTGTGTGGTGTTGGGATTTGTATGGTGATTTTGCGTGGTAGAGAGGAGAGCAAAAGAGAGAGGAGGCAGAGAGGTGGGAGGCGAGGTGCCTGCGTTTTTACTCGGCGGGGACTTGGGGGAGTGATCCTGCGGGCACCTCCCACCAGGCCTAACCAGAGCCACCAAGACGAGGCAGGCGCACCCGGGTTTCGCTGGGAAGGGGAAGGCACGCGTTGCCCCCTTTCCCGCCTGGTTCCTGGCACCTTGCCTTGGGCTGCCCGCGTGTGTGCGTGCGTGTGTGCGTGTGTGCTCCTCTCTCATTGTTTTTGTCCAGGGGCGACCAGTGAGTGACCAGCCACCAGCCATCCACCAGCGGGCAGTAGCCACCATGCCAACTGCTACTGTGCCATACTGTAGTCACAGAACTCCGCCCCAAGTACTGAGTACTGTGTACCTTCGCAGCGCCCGTACCTCCTCAGGGTACATGCCCTTTTCGACCTTGGACCGGCCCATCACTTCCCTTCTGATCCGCCTGCCACCTCGCCCGCCCGCCCGCACCTTTTGTGCCCCCCTCCCCCTTCGTCCCTTCACGCCCACCCAGATACATATCGACGTACATACATGTAGCTGGCTAGACTGTTTGTCGTGGCCGGTTATCCACTGCTCCGACAGGCCCTGACTTGCAATGCACACATTACTCTGCAGATGCCACTACCACCTCCTGATCACAGAGTTTTTTTTGTTTCTTTCTTTCTCAGAGAGAAGTACGTGCATCTCACACCGCCTTGTGGCCGAGCTGTCGCAATATCCTGCCACTTGAGCCGTACCTAGGTGCTGTAAGTAAGTAAGTACCTACCTTAGGTACTTACCTACTCTTTGTCGATGGGTCAGATGCTCTAAGAACCCTCTGCACTGCCCAACGTGCGTGCCGGAGAGGTCCGTGTGATTGCACGTAGCCCCACAGTACGTCGTTCGAGACATAGGCTCAAATCACCCCACACCATTCAGGTAACCCTTTATTTTCTACGTACTTTCGGACAGTCCGCACACTGTCCAACCCCTCTCCATGCCTGCTCCAGATAGTTGCTTCCTCCTACCCCCCCCTTCCGCTCTTGTCTACTGATCCGGCGTGCCTTGGATCATCGTGCTTTCCAACCAGAAGACTTGGACGCGTCTGCTTCGGCTCAAACCACGACCAAAACACGCAACAGGGACCTTGCGAGATAACTGGAGCAATACGACGCGTCGTCCAGTTTGCTTAAGCTCTCCATTTCCTCTGCGGTCCATAAGATCACGAAAGCCCGAGCCCCCTGTGGTATGAGATATGCTGGACCACGTTTTGTGGTCAGGCTGGGTCTCCAGACGGAAGATGACAGGATACCCGTCAAGCCCCAACCTCAACACAGTGTTTGGCTCCCCCAGTGCTCCGCGACAAGACTAGACACACCTACGCAAACTCTCCCGTTTTGGTAGCTTGTCCTATCACACTCGAGTCACATCCATCGAGCAGCCCCCTGACGACAAGAGCCCACGCTCCCCTGGACCTTGACGTGATTCCCCGAAATAACGACGCTGGACACATGCCTCAGCTAGGCGGCTGTCTCTTGTGGCTGGATCTCCTATCAAAATAGCCTTGATTCGGCAATCCAGACAGCAGCTCCTCGCTAGCCTGGTCGGGCTCGGGACATTGGACATGGAGAGGGTGAACAACGGCAGCTTGGTACCAGGCCCCCCCCCTTCCGTCATACTGCCTAGTCTGTATGGCGACTCGCTTACCCTCCAGGCTCTCCACAGTTTTGCTTAGCTCTCGCAGGACTGGCGTCACTTGTTTGAGCATAGATCTGGAGACGGCCAGTGGTCGACCTGCTTGCTGTAGCGACTTGGGACCTCTGCACTACGGGATCTGGTATCTACACTTTGTCACCCGACGAGCATGGTCCAAGAACAAAAACAAAGTGAATGAATAAAAAAACGAACCCTTTGCCCGCCCCTTCGACGAAGTTTTTTGCCCCTCTCTAATTGACGGATGCTCGCAGGGACCAATCTCCTCCGTTTGTCCCGAGTTGATGCTTGACCTACATCCTGGTACTGACACAATGCAACGCGGGTGTGGACTGCAAAGGTCTAGTGTGCTTAGGTACTTTTACCTTGCATAGGTCTCATGTACCAGCAGAGGAGATTGTCATGTACCGGTACTTGAGCCAAAGTACCAGCTTCGCTCGACATTTCTTCCGCTGGCCACCGCCTGCAACCAGCGGTCGAAGGCGATGAGCAAAGCGCCCCTCAGCCCAGCCCAATCAAAGTCTGACTTTGGCCGGACGATGCTCGGTTTGCGATCCCTCTGTTTCTACCACCTCTTCGCCTTGCCAGTGCGCAAGTGAGGGCGCGTGTGTGCGTGCGTGCTGCGGCCAGGTGCCAGCATCCTACACATGCGGGAGCACAAGCGATAGATTGACCCATCTAGCCGTCTCCCGGGCGAGACATGCTCGGCGAGAAGCCGAACGGGGCGTTTACGCTGCTAGAGGATCTGTGAGCAATCCCACTTGTACCAGACTGGCTCGGTCTGATAGTCGTGATGCCAGATCCAAGGCCACATGCAGACTGGTAAGGTGAAGAAGAAAAACGCTGGCAGAAAAGGCTGGTTGGCGCCAGCTCGACCGCATGCCTCGCTGCGCATGGTGGTGCTGAGAGCGAGCACCGTTCGAGCGCGAGTTTCTCAGAGTAGTGCGCAGGCTCCGTGTTCCGACGAGGCCGGCGCTGGTGCTGGCGCTCGGCTGGTGCTGATGGAGTGTCAGGAGTGCACACCAGCACACACCTAGCGTTCCTTGCCCACCTTGCCCACCTACCTGGCTACGTAGGTGGGCAAAGTACTCGGGCGAACGAGACAAGACGGCCTCCCTCGAATACCGAAACGGGTGGTACTTGGTCATGCACGGGCAGGTGGCTGAACAGCTTGTACCTTGTGAGTCGCGACTGGTGACGGGGATGGAGAGAGTGAGGAGTGATGCGTGCGCGCGCCTAGACCGCAGACAGGGCCGGAGGTGTCTGGACTGATGCCGCGCCCCAGTGAGGAGTTGTCTCGACCAGTTTTCCCCCTCCTCTTCCTTGGCCTTCCTGGCCCTCCCTTGAGCGCTGGGCCCCAACTCCCTGTTCCACAGTCGAGATTGATGCGGTTGTACCAGCGACTTGTGTGCAGCCCTGTCGCCCAAACGAGTCCCGCACTGTGCCATAACCGGCGACCCTCTCTCCCTCCGTCCGCCACCCGCTATGCGCCCTTTCAAATGCCTGCAGCAACCAATGAGACAGTGCGCAGCGTGACCCAAACTGTCCACCGACCCAATGCCTGCCTTTTTGGCTCCGCCCCGACTGTCGGTTGTCTGGCTGATGCGAGCAGGGCATGGACCGACTGATTTTTGGGGGAGTCTGCGCTCCCCTCCCTCTTGCTTGCTGGGCGCCCCAACTGCTGCACCCATTTACTCTCTCTTCCTGCTGGTCTCACCTAGACACACACACACGACACGTGACCGACATTAACACGTCCATCGCTTTGCTGACAACCAAAGCAATCACTTGCATACATTTTCATTTTCGGACAATTCGACAGACGAAAGATATTCTGATCTCAAGATAGACGATTTGACCGAAATGGCCAAGGCATATCACGTGATATTTGAGCACCAGCCAATGGCCCAAGCGTCCTGCGACGCTAAGATCCAACACGCCGGCATCTGCCAAGGATCGCTGTGCTCTGTCTGGTCTGCTGTTCGACACCCAGTTGTGAGTCCTGGGCGAAAGCCTGGGGAAGCGGCCTGTGACGAGACCACATTCTAGCGGATGACCCGCATGGGTGGCATACATCGTCACTTTATGCAGGGTCTGGAAGTCCGCGACGAACGACTGGTCCTCGTCAGCCTCGATGGGTCGGTTCCGACGGGAGAGCCTCAGATGTGTTTCCGCCACAGTCACCTGCAACTTTATCCATTTTCTGACCGATAGAGCGTTTCATCGTCCGCTGTTGTTCATTTATCGTAGCTCATAACACGTTAAACCATCATCGTCCATCCTTCACACATGTAGAGAGATTGGGCCACGGCGTGCACAGGGACACAAACACATGTCCTCACATGTCCTCCCCCGAGGGATCGAGCACCATCCACCTCAGGCCCTCATCGCCAACCCAGTCGACGCCGCTCCCGACCACAATCGCGCTTGCCGTGCCCTTCATGACCTTCCACTTTTGCCTGCTCGCCTTGAGGCTGGCCCTGAGCAGCTGCATCTCCCGCCTCGCCTCGTCGTCGTCGTCGTCGCCACCGCTCCCCTGAGGCCCGCTGCCGCCGCCTCGCCGCCTCGCCGCCTCCTCGGCGAGACGCAGC